TAATTGAGGGTTTTTCCCAGAGCAAATTTCAAGTCCCGAATATTTGTTGTTATTGCGGAACAGATACAGTGAAGTGCATGTTGTTGCCGACCTGCACATGAAGGAGAGCCACTCCAGCATGAAGGTGCGGGTCTTTTCCACACCTCGAGTGTCGGAGCCCCAGTGCTCCAGACCGAAGTTGCTGAAATCCCTGAGGACGTCTAGTCGCTCGCCGGACGAGATGTCCCAGTGTCTGCTCTCCTTTATTTCAGTGAAGATCCAGGGCTTAATGAGAGCACCCCTGAAGAGACCAAAACACGCTAAATCCAGTTTACCACAAAGACAACAAAAGCTCTGCAAAACGGAGCCGTTCCTCTGGTCAGTTTACCATTCTTTTATTTGCTGTAAAAGTAAGAAAGCACAATCATTTCATTGAAAATGATGCATCACAACAGATAAAGATAGCTGGGGCAAAATAGCAGAAACACCACATCAAAAACAGAATTGTTAAAAGAGCATCATTTAGATCCTGAAATAACTATATACGATTTTTTTCACAATAACTGACAATCGAACAGTACCCAGGGGCCAGCTGCCGGGTGCTTGAGAATGGTGGCATAGACCGGATAATAATGACAGTTACGCTCATTTGTCTGTACTGTGTGTAATCACTGAAGTGGAACCGACCTGGCTATCATGATGCCAGAAACTCCCGTCTCTCTTGCTTTCATGGCATCTTCATAGGACAGTATGTCTCCATTACCTGGGACAACAACACACAAGTCAACCTTAGTTCACCTCATCACCAACAAATAACGAGTCTTCCATAGCCTGTGTAAGATAAACAGTTGTCTGAACTCTAGAGGAAGTTATTGTAAGAGTATTGAACTGGAAGTACAGAAATTCACACACACACCGAAAAGTGGGACGGGACTAGCCAGCTTGGAACAGGTGTTGATGTAGTCCCAGTCAGCCGACTTAGTGTAGCGCTGCTCTCTGGATCGCCCGTGCAACTGTAAGAACACTACAGCATCAATGGTTTGGCATCAATGGGGAAACCGACTCGTTTCACTTGCACATACAAGTGCTCTAACACTGCATTTTTACTGTCACGGGTTATATGCATTTATGAAATGAAGCCACCACGTGCTGAAGGAAAAGCAGGCAACACTAAAAATGACTATTTGATTGCCAATGATCATGTTCATGCATTTCTTGACTCTTGCTTCGACCGTATTTAATGATTTTCAACGCATGCTGTGTCAATACCTTCATCCCCTCCTCCCTCCCACGCCTCCTTATGACATTGATCTATGATGCTACTACACAAGACTTACTGTGATCATTGACACATCCCACTTCTTCATCTCTGGGATGAGTTTGTGCGCGATGTTGCACTTCTCCTGAACGCCAGTGCGGATCTTGACTGTTAAAGGGACGTCAAGAACCTTTCGGGGAAAAAAATAATTATAATAATCGTTTGGATGGATTATTAAAAACTAGTTTCACACTTGTACACTACACAATTGCTTTACATATTAAATGACGGGGGCGTTTTTTTTTGCTAAAAGCCCAAATTCACCAAGATACCGTGAAACATACGTAGTTCATTCCCTTGATTATCTGCTCAAACTTTCTGGTGCGCGTCATCAAGCCGCAGCCTCCGCCCTGATGTGGGAAAGTAAACAAACACCACCTGTCAGTCAATGTCAAGTTACCGTGCAACGTTGCTTTACACACACCGCAGTGCCATTTGATTCACCCCACTTGGCCTTTCTTCCATCCCAGCACGCTTATCTTTCTCCTTGGTCCATCCACCCGGGAGAAAAACACGGTTTTACTGTCCGCGGTGTTTACCTTTTTGTAGACGAGGTCAATGGGGCAGCCGGAGTTGATGTCCACAAAGTCGACATCGATGTTGCCGTTGATGAGCTCGGCGCACCTCGTCATGGTGTCGGGGAAGCAGCCCTCCACCTGGGGACACAATCGGGACCTTCAGAAACCTTAGGACACCGTGGACAAAAGTCATCTCGACAGCGACCTTTGACAACGTTACCTGGACGCCAAACACGTCTTCACTTTCGTGCCGCTTCAGGAGGGCCCACTCCGACTGCTGCCCCTGCAGCAGGTTTGTGCACATGGCCATCTCCCCACAGGTGATGTCTGCCCCGAAGCGCTTGCACACGCGACGGAAAGGCAGATTTCCACACTGAGACGAAGACAAAGAAGGCATTTAGTCAGCATTTGACTACATCCGTGGCACGTCGTACATTGGTGCTCCATTCAGTCCGGTGGTCGCTTACAGTTGTTAGAGGAGCGAGGTAGAGCTTGTCTTGAAAGTCCACCTTAAATACAGAGAAAAAAAGGATTACAAGATATTCCTTGTGTTATTTTTATTAATTAATTATTAAGTACAGGAGAGATGGTTGTCTGAGATATGGACCTGTTTCTTTTCACACAGGCGCAACTTGACGATATCTACATCAGTGAGGGGTCCAACAGTCTTCACTGGAGGCGGTTTGTCCGGGCCGGCCTGTGGCTTGTCACAGAGAAAACGCGTACAAATACTTTTAAAATGCCAAGGAACACACATGAAAAGGTAGTAGTAGAAGAAGAGAGTACATTTGTACCTGGGCTTCAGCCTCAGCAGACACATGCTGCTCCCCTCCTGTTTGATCGGCCGATAATTCAGGCGCACGAGGATTACCTGAGTGTGTCGAAAGACTGAATTATCAGACCGAATTTTAATCAACACCTGTTCAACTCGGGGGATTAAGGTCCAACTAGAATGAATAGAAGAGCTGATCAAATGAAAGCTCCAGCAAGTGCCACAGGGACTCGCTTCAGGGCCACTTCCTTTTCACTGCACTTCTGTGTCGGTGTAATTTCAAAGCCTTCATTGAGCGACTGAATGCTTCAGTATTCGCAGAATCCTTTGGCAAATTGTTAATATTAACAGAACACTAATAGACCATGTGTGAGTGGGTACTACGTCCATCTTAAACTTCTTACCGTTCCCCCGCTGTTCTCTTTTGTCTTTTTGGTTGGAGAGCATGTCGAGGTACTCCGCGGACTGGTTGAAGGTCACCGAGCGCTTCCTGAGACGAATCTGGAGGTCTTTACTCAGGTTGTTCTTCACCGTGCTCTTGCCCTCGTTGGCCCGGACTAGCTCCGCGTTCTCCATGGTTTTGAAGTCAAGTGTCGTGTGCGCTTTGGCAAAGCGGCAGCAGAGACCGTAACCGCACTTTCCGAAGGTGTCGTAGAGGTAGCAGCTTTCCCCGATGTCGGCGGGCTTGGTCGCCATGTACTCGGCTACGTCGTGTTGAAACTGGCATTTGTCTCCAAATGGACATTCCCTTTTGTCCTGCATAGAGGGGAAAGGTTGTGACAATTGAGTCAGCTGACAGCTGTTGCAGGGCACTTTACGCTGCATTTACGAATGGTGCGTTAAAGCTTCATACCTGAATAACTGAAAGACAAAGACGTTTTTCGTCAAAGGCGGTAGGCTTTGTGTGTGGCCTTGACTTATTCTGTCCCCGCATACGCTTCCCGTCTGGTTTGAGGCCCTTTTTTCCCTCCTCTGGGTCTAGTTTGAGCTTTTTTGGTTCAGGTTCCTCAATAGAGGTCGTCATGGCATCCTGTACTTTGTCACCGTCAGTGGCTTTTTCGCCCTTTGGGCCCTGCCACTCGGAGTCTACGAACGCATGGAACTGTTCTTTGGTGGTCAGGAATCTGCAAATGCAAGAAGAAGAAAAAAAAAAGAAATGCAATGACCTGTCAGTTTGCTGACATAACAACTTTTCATCCAACACAACGCTTTAAGTGCGTGTGCAACGACCACGGTGTGGAATAGCGCCGGCCGGCAAATTCATCCGTTAAAATACATAATGTCTAAAAAAAAAATCCGACCAGATAATCCTTGCGAAACTCAAAACAATAGCTAAGAACGTACTGTGCACGAGTCAAGCGCATGCACCATAGCTGCTAAGCCTTTTTGCTGACCGATCATCTATGAGTCCATGCTAATCTGCAAAGGGGAAATAAGTGGGTTGCTATAGCAGAACGTGGGTCATCTGAGGGACGTGATGGAGCAAAAGGGCTGGAGTGACGTCAGCTGGGAGGACATGCAATGGACTAACTTTATTTAATGAGGGAGCGGACAGCTGCGTGTTTAGTGTCACATCAGACGTCTGAATCGATAGTTTTGCACTTTGTAAACCATATGAGAAGGTTTAGTGGTCACCAGGTTGTCGTGTCGTGTGTTAACGTCACATGGACGTTTACTTACTGTGATTTGAGGGCAGCTTCGCCCTTCACAGCTACATCGGTCCTCTTTTCGACGGGTTCCTCCGCTGCTCCGTCCATCGCACCTTAACAGATTCCCTTTTCCCTGAAAAACAAAAACACCGATACATCAGATTAGCCCTTTTGATTCAGAAACTCGTGTGCTGCATGCTTCGAGTGGGTTGAAGCCGTTGCATTTAAGTCCGTGGATGTTTGTCCCATTAAGCTGAATTCCGAGTGGGCATTACTCACCTGTTACGATCACAGCCGCCCCGATAGACCGCCGCACGTCGCTTGACGTTACCCGTTAGTGCAGCATGCTTCGCTGGAGGCTCACACGGCTAGCAAGCTAACCGCTAACGGGAAGGCTGCCGATGCTAACGCTCCGCCGGAGACGCGCCCGCTAATTAACGCGTTTTAACCCCAATTTGTGAATACATTTAAAAAAAGGGCAAAAGTTTTGTATTCAAATATTGCAGTAGACTTTTATTATACTTCTCACACTCTGTTAACATGCCTCAACACACCTGCATGAGAAGACAGTTGTGTTGCAGTTTGTGTAGTCCGTGTGGTGCTGGAGGAGTTTTGAGGAACATTAGTTCCGCATAATAAATAATACAGCTCGTAATCTTTATTTACTACAGGATTTCGCTGTTGACATCAGATTAGATTTAACCGAATACACTTGTTAGTTTATGAATACAATATCTCCAAGTACAAAATAAAATCAGTCATAATTTAAACATTCAGTCAGATACCTTTTGGTATCGATTTTATTGTAAGATTGCATCCTCACATGAATTCCAACATGAAATCTAAAAACAAAAAAAAATAATGCATGTGTAGATACATGTTTGGCATGAAAGCTATTGGAGTTGAAGAAAAAAATAGAAATCTGATAATTGATTCATTGTTTTGGTTTCTTCTGTGACAGTAAATAATAATATTGTGGTTATTATTGGTTGGCCAAAATTTGGAATGTGATCCTGGAGAATATGAAATTACCTTATTAATCAAGAAAAACCTTCGGCAAGTTCATCCATAATGAAATGTTTGTCGTAATAGCCCTACCAACTATGTTGAAACACTATTGGAGAGACAGAAATCCTAATCTAGTGACCACAAAAAACAACTAGCGTGAAACAAAGGTGAAAGTGAAAGCGGCATCCAGCATCATGTAACATCGTAATACAGACGGTTTCCTTCAGTCGTCTAGTCCTGCACGAAGTTTTTCCATCTTTGCATCAAACCGCTTTTGACTAGAGTCCAGGACGCTGATGCCGTTCTTCTTGAAGTCATATCTCACTCTATGCAGCTCCTCTAGTCGCCCTGTAATGTTCTGTGTGCTGTAGTCTAAAACTTTGGGTTTTTCCAGTATTTGCTGCATTGCTATTCCTCCACTTAGCAGACAGTCCAGTTTGGAGCTCAGCGTGTCCGACCCAATGTACAGAACCATCGGATACCTGAGGACTAGTTTCTTTAAGTCAGATTTCCTACAGCCATGGGAAACCAGCCTCTGCTGGAGAGTTTGAAATTATTTTTTAGATATTCATTGGAAAGGTCAATTATCTGAGCTACGGGGCCTTGGAGAAGACCGAGCAGTTCTGAATCGCTCAACTTCAGAAAAGCTCGGAGGATATCGATGTTTGTCTTGACTCTCTTTGTACTTCGGATGAGAATGTAAAGGTTTTTGGATATGACAGATTTAGGAAACTGCTCTGGATTCTCCCCACCGAGTTCGGCACAGACGTCTTCCAGAAACTCCACCATCTGCCTGTTGAGCTCTAAACTGTTGGAGAAGGTCCGCGGCGCCGTGGTCAGCAGCCGATGGAGGTCTTTATTGTTCAGTCCCAGCGAGGTCAGAAAAGCGATGTTCTTCTTCAAGTTGTCATTATCACTCGACCGGAAGAAGGACTCCGGCGAGCGATCCACGATGCTCACGATCTCCGCGTCGGTCTCGAAGATGTCTCTCCACAGCTCCCAACGATGTTCCAAGTGTTCGATGGAGCGCGTGATGGCGCGGGGGTAACGCGACACGATGCCGGCCACTACCGTGGAGCTGGCGCCTTTACCCTGCAGGAACTTTGCGAGCCCTCGCTCGTTGGTGAAGGCTTTGCGAAGCACCCCGGGCTGTCGCTGGCGTGCCATCTTCACGTCGACTCCCATGAGGTTCAGGTTCTCCAGCAGAGATTCGTTCTCCGTGGGCGCCGGCGTCTTCGGCTCGTTCGCTTTCATCGGGGCACTGCAGAGACCCCTGGGAGGGACGGTTGAAGTCAGCTGTGCCGGCATGTGCCCGAAGCGTCGCTGCAAGGCCGCCGATCGATAGGAGCTGAGGAAAGCCTTCACTCCGGCCACTGCTGCCATTTCTAATGAGGAGGGCCAGTCTCTGTGGGTTTAAAGGAACATAAACATATTTGTCTAATTAATGTTATGGTCAACAAAAAAATCAAAGAAATTATACATATATATTTATAACGTTTATATATATATATATATATATATATATATATATATGTATAAAAATTGAAAGTAGCCTAATAAAGGAACCTAGACGTTGTACTTCATTGTAACGTTAATTCTGCAATGTTATCACTTATTATTCAGATTCTACACAAGCTCGGGAGATTGTTACCATTAGATTCGTTTTAATAGGCTAATATTTAACGAACACAGGTTAACCCTGACATACACGTGACTTTAGCTTTAACTTTATTCGCCATTAAATGAGTGAATGAAATGTCCAGGTCAATCGACTGTCGTCTTGTAAACGAATCAATGCCTCTATCGTAGGAGTCTTAAATAAATGACATAAAAACACAATTTTACTTACAAATACCATCTACGTTACGTTTAGTTTCCTTTTCTCACGAGAAATGTGGAGATTAAGGAGCCATTTCTGTGAAAGCGGAAACGTGAAACTCGTCGTGTCTCGCGAGTTTCTCGTCGGTGAAAACAATATTTCCACAAGCATCTTGTGTAATTACCGCCGCCTGGTGTCGTGGGGTGTAAAAGCACTCTGCGGTCATTTCTAACCTCTTTGAACAGATAGTGTTTTATTTATTACTTTGAATCAACGTTTACACACTTCTGCCGGCCATTGAATTCAAAAGTAATGATATCGAGATAGAAACGCAGGCTTTTCGATTTCCTTGAATCCCAACAATTAAATAAACGATAAATGGATAAAAATCAACATTTTAAAAACCATCTCCACAATACAAGGATGTAGCTCTGGTGAAGCTGGAACAAATATTTTGTATTTGAATTTAATTTTACAATATATGCTTGGATCAGCCTTTAAAAGGGACAACTTATTCATTTGTGTGCATATGTGGGATGTGGACTCTTATTTAGGTTGTTAAAACTATTTAATGGACGGAAACCAGTTAAAGAGTTTAACCTTCTTATACTACCCTGTATAATTTAATTGTGTAATAAAAATTTCTAGTCTGTTCATGGCGGCATAAAGCTACGTGGACAACTTAATGTTTTCAGTGTGATTATAAGAATACTTATTAATACTTAATTCGTGCCAGACACAACCTACATCCTCGTATGCCCATGAAGTAGAACAAGCATGTTTTCCACGTGCTGTGACTGACTTGCTTGGCACTGAAAAACCTACTGAACCGTTGCCTCGCTTAACTGATGAGTCCCACCAGTGGTGAATATTTCATTATGCACAAGTGCTTTCACCCCGCTGTCCTAAGATTGAAGAGAGCATGGTGTTTTAGTTCAAAACGGCATCCACCGTCTCAGGGGCTCAGTTTCATTTTCGCTCCGACCATCAGCGTGATTTATTTGTCATTACCAGACACGGTTTCGCTTGTCTTGCACTTGTTCAAAGCACTTCAGCTCGTGTTTGCATGATGATGTGATAGGGAGCAACTCTTAGGCCAGTGTTTCTGCCTTCATCCAATCAGAGGAAGAAAGGCACGTGAAAGAAGGCCGAATCCTACACACTCCTCTGCACATTATGACAGCTTACTACTGCCTCCACGACCATATCTCACACTCACCTTTGTGTACTTTTATTTATTTTGTTGAGTTCATTTAGTACTCTATTTCTATATATTGTGTATATTTGTGGATTTTATAATATGTTGCTACTCTACAGCTGTTGTTTTGACTGGATGCACTTTAGCTCAGTGTAATAAAGTCTGCATCTCTGCGGAACGTATAAAAAGTATAGCTATCTGAATATCTTAGCTATATCATAGCTAATATTAGTTTTATCTGTCCTACCTCATGAGCACAAGTGCTGTTGTGTTTTTAATACTACTGTAAATGAATTTCGGTACAGGTCCATTTGTTGTGGTCTACTGGGTAAAGTTGCTTGGGTAACGGCTGACACAGGACTCCTTCGGTGAATCAATAATTCAGAAACTAAACTTTCAAATGTGCAGAGGTTCTAGTAGAAGCTGTTTCACAAACGGAGAGTGTTTGCGGGGAGGGAAAATGTCGAAAAGAAGATGGGTGGAATTCAAAATCTGCCAGACTATAAGCTGCTCGGCTCCTGTCCGAAGAAACAGCACATCCTCACCTGCTGCTGCTGGTATGTTTTTAAATGGTTGAATGCTTTTACTTTTACTAGGTTTACTAGGATAATGCCATATTAAATATGTAAACCTTATTGAAGCACAAGGTGACATTATTACCCAACCTTTAATGTAGACAAACACAGTTTTTGGAACACAAACACATATACAAGCTGCACATTTTTTTAGATTCAAGATCACATAATAATATTAACAAAAATACACGATTTTTACCTCTGTGGGGTGAAGTTAAAAAGGGGAAATTGGACCTAACAAAGAAATTACTATGGTTGTTTTTGTTAATATTGATATATATTTGCAGGGTAATAGTTATTTGCTATACTTGACAAACCTTGACAGAACTTGACAAAACAAAATAAAGAAAAAAGAAGACTTTAATAAATAGTAATAATAAAAATGACTTGAAATGTCCTCTCTGCACCTCCAATATGTTAAGCATATGTAGAATGAATGAATGGAAGAATTAAGTGAACAGAAATTGAAATGTAGTCTTTAAGTTATATTCTGTACATGTGTGCAGAATTAAAACCATTTTATAACCAGTTATCATAATGAATCAACTACAAGTTTACTAATAACACATTTGACTTGGAGTCTGTCTGTAAATTGAATAACAGACAAAGTATCCTTTATCGCCTCCATCTGTCCTAGAAGCTGATGCCAGGATCATATTACCTTCAGTCCCATTGAAAGAGGCTCAAAAGTATACATTGCTTTTATTTGAAATCTGCTCAGAATAGTCTGACGCTGTAAAATGTGAGCTCCTGGTTGAAGTGTTTATTAGTAACAAAAAACAGCCTTGAAATGAAAATATATTGTGTTAAAAAAGAAACATCTCAACTGGGACTCCTTTGGCAACCTCTCGTCCCGTTACCATAGAAACTGGGCAGACGTTTTTAAGCAGGATTCAGACTGCATAAAAACAGTGAGATTTTGCTTTTATGAAAATGCCGTCTTCATGACATCATTAACAATTATTAACAAGAGTACTGTATACTAAAACATAAAAGGAGTCTGACATGCCTTTCTTGCCTCGATATACACATATCCCTTTCCAAAAGAAGAAAAAAGAGTAATAGGGCCATCTTTGAGACGGCCTATAACTGTTTGGTAGAACGCAGCTGATGCCAGATTGTTATAACAAAATACTAAGCAATATCTGAAGTGGTATATACTAGCCCCGCAGAGAAGGTTAAGGCTATTGTGAATCAGTGTGAGAAGGATTTGATGGATGAGAGGACCAACATTCGCTCACCATCCAAGATAAGATCCTTCCTTGGGATGGTTGGGTTTTACCAACAATTCTTAAGTATCAAGTATACTCAGGATACTCAAGTATCAGCAAGCCTCTATTGCCTTAACATCTGGCGTGACAAAGCCGAAATATACCATGGGTTAGAAGAGACCTGTGGCTAAGAAGCTAACGTTGGCTGATTGGAGCCCAGAATGCAGCGAAGCCTTCTCTGAGTTGAAGCAGGCGTTATTGGAAAATGCCACATTGGCTTATCCCGACTTCAGTAAGCCATTCCTGCTGTCCATTGATGCCTCATCCAATGGCGTCGGTGCTGTGTTGTTACAACTGGCGTAGGGCGATGACGTGGCACGACCATGACCACGCCTTTTGTCCAGCCGAGTGTGCTGCTTCGACTGACTAGAGTCCCTTATGGCGCACTACTGGAAGAAGCAAGTGTTGTGGATTCTGACCATGTGCAGGATGTGTTTCGTCAGTCATGTGACCCAGCAGCTATGTTGCATGGGGACCCGGGGGGACTGGCCCCAGAGACCTCTATCTCACGCCAAGCAGTGTGTGTGGTGCTTGAGCGTTCTTTGGACCACGACTGTTTACCATCACAAGCTTTCCTATTGCCCCAACTTGTTCGATCCATTCAACCACATGAGTTGTCTGATGTCCACCCTCTACCCAGAGATAAGCTGTTGGATGCACAGCGCGCGGATCCCGGTTTGAGTCGGGTGCTTCACTTTGTAGAACGCCGACGGCAGCCATCAAGGCGAGAGCGTGCAGGTGAGCCAGTTGAGGCTCTGCGGCTCCTTAGACATTGGGAAAAACTGACCTTGAACATGGATGTCCTGTATCGTGTCTCCAAGGACGTTGTTACCAACAGGAAAACTTACCAGTATGTGGTGCCCTCTGCACTGAAGGAGAAGGTTCTTAAAGGCGTACATGATGAGGCAGGTCACCAAGGCCAGAAGCGGACGCTCTATCTGACTAGGCAAAGATTCTACTGGCAGGGGATGGAGACTGACGTGGTGCAGTATGTGCGATACTGTAGTCGCTCTGTGTTCAGCAAGTCTCCCGAGCCTGAGACGAGAGCACCACTTGAAAGCATTTCGACTTCTAGACCCCTGGATTCGATATGTGCGGACCTTTGGTCCGCTGTGGACTCCTCCAACAGGTCTCTAGATGTTCTTGTGGTTACTGACCATTTAACTAAGCTGGCCCATGCTTACCTCTGCCCCAACCAATCTGCTAAGGCTGTAGCGCAACAACTCTGGAACAACTTTCTCTGTGTGTATGGCTTTCCTGAGCGTGTACACTCGGACCAAGGAGCCAATTTTGAAAGTAGTCTGATTGAGGAGATGCTCCTGGTTGCTGGTGTTCATAAATCTCGCGGTAATATGATCAGAGCTTTTCCACCAAAGGCCAAACCCCGATGGCCCCCGCTACTGAAATCTCTCACTTTCTCCTACAACGCGACAGTACATGAGACCACAGGCGTTGCCCCATTCCTAATGATGTTTGGCAGGACCCCCAGGCTGCCTGTTGACTTGTTGTTTGGCTCTGTTCTGTTAGATGATCAGGTGGTGGATTATGATGCCTATGTGCAGTGCCTTCGCCGTGATTTGCCAGAGGCTATGAGGGTTGCCCAGTGCTCCACCACCAAGCAGCAGCAGAGACAGGCAAACCTTTATAACAAGAAGCTTAAGGGTTCCCCGGTGGATGTTGGTGGCAGAGTTCTGCTAGCCAACAAAGGTGAACGAGGAAAAAGGAAACTGGCTGATCGCTGGGAGGGACACGTTTGCACTGTTGTGGGGAAACAGGAGAACACTCACACCTTCAGGATTAGGAATTGTGCCACAAACCAGGAGAAAGTGGTCCACAGGAATCTCATCATGCCTGTAAACTTCCTACCCCTCCCGACAGAGTCTGAGGATGATTCTGGTGGCATTGATCTGAACACTGAGACTTTGGATATGCTCTGTTTCGCTGCCTAGCTGTGCACCTGAAGACAGGACGGTGTCCTGGGTCTCTGGACTCCCAGCCGCCACCAGAAATTTGCTGACTGCTTTGTTGGATGTTCCTGGTAATGATGACCCTGAGATTGACCTACCTGTTGAACAGGAAGGTCCGACTGTCTTGACTGACTCTCAAGCTGTTGCCTCTGAGGCCCTAATTGACGCACAGCCTGCTGACAGCGATTCTCTTGTCAGGTCAGATGTGAGGGGTCATTGGGGGTGAGGACTAGGTGTGGGAGGGCTGTTAGACCTGTTTTAAGGCGTATCCAGCAAATGCACCAGAAAGCTTTCTCATGATTATAATGTTTTTGAGTTCTTGTGAATGTGACATGTTCTACGTCTCTTTTTGACTGTTGGGATGTGCTTATGTATTTTTTTTTCTGTACGGAAGAGCCCTGTATAAGATCACCAGTAGTGTGTGACTCTGGATGGGATGTATTGTACAGTACTATGTGTATTCTTTGATATTGTGTGTATTAACATTAGGGGTGTAACGAGTCATTCACTGAATCGATTAATCGATTTATATTCCTGCGATCCAACTGAAACGATCTGTGCTCCGCATTGGAAGGACTTGCTACCCTTCCTCATTCTAATTCTTAAGGGATAGCCAGTGGCTGGACTGCTAAGTATCAATAATTGAAATGGTACTGTATATTTACATTAGCGAGAAATCTGCATTTTTTTTTCTGTTTTCTTATTGTGAATGACTTACCTGGTATGTTCCTGTTTGGGGGTGTTTACGTGGTTGAATTTCGTTTCTTTGGGGGGTTTGGCTGAGCAAGTGGAGATCAGCAGGGGAGAATGTAACGGGTGTCGAGTGTCACGTGGGTGCCCTCTAGTGGGTGTAACTAAACACTTTTGTGCCCCGATATTGCTAGTTTAGTAAATCGTATAATTACTTCCTCTGCCACTGATTGAAAATTGTTTTAGTGAAGTCATGTCACCATTTCGGACAGTACGTGAAGGCAACACTGGTAAAATACCAGGGGGCGTGGCCATGGACCTACCTACTCAACGTCATCATAGTTGGGTCTCATGTTTACGTGGAAAACATGGCGGCGGAATACCAACAACGAGACTGCACTTATTAAACGCGACTCGTAGCGAGTAGAAGACGCATATACAACCGTTAGTTTTGAGATTTTCCTGGCCGATATTTGCATGAAGCAGCTTCCCTCTTGTTTCAGCCACAGGAACCCCGGCGATGGACGAGGAGAGGCAAAAGAAGCTGGAGGCCGGCAAAGCAAAGGTATCGTTGGGATTCTCCGTTTTTAGTGTTAGCATAACTCACTAACACCGCTATCATTGATAAAGTTAGTAAATTGTTGTTGTCGACAACTTATTTCCTTGCCGCTGGGTCTCCCAGTTGTTTTCGGTGCCCCCTCCCCTTCCTCGTATGCCCCTCTCAGCTGTCAGTCCCAGCGAACACGCTGTGACAGCCGGGGAGGGGGGGCTGGCTGGCTCGCCGGCGGTGTGGGGAGTTAGCATAGCCACTGCTAGCCACGGACTCCTTTGTCATGCTGCATGTCTGACGTTACAGCGGTGTTATATTCTACTTTCGTCCCACTTGTGGGGGGGTGTGCACTTAGTCCTAAGGTGGTCACCCACTAGTCAGGCGGGACACCGTCATGAAAGGCTCATAACAGCTGCCGGAGTCTGGGCGGACCGGCTGGTGTAACAGGATTTACAAGACGTATCCCCACTGCCTCAACGTTACGTTAGTTAAAGCAAACACGCCGCCCCGAAGGCCGAAGTCGTGCTACATTCACGGCGTCACCGGTCAGCGGCTTCTACATTTAGGTCAGGAGGACAAACCCCACACGTCCAGTGGCCGATGTAAAACATGGCTGCTAAAACAGGCTCATCCTATCCTTAATTTTGCCCTTTTTAGACTGGAAACTGTGTGCATGTCAATTGCTTTCTTGCAATTGCAATAGAATAAATGGTGCAGTGATCTGTCTGTACTGCATGACCTTGCAGCGGCTCTTCTAAGGATGTTGATGTACTCCAGACATCTTGGATATAAGATCTGAAGGTGATGTGATGAGCTGACCTCTGCTTTAGGCGTTCAATAGATAGTGTACAGTATGATAATAACACCCTCAACACATGTGGCTGGATCAAGCACATCTGCAACAAAGAGGGGAATTCAACACAATAAATAATAACATGCATCTTCATAGATTATAGTATATAGTTTTAGTATATCATTTACAAATCAGTCAACATATTAATATTGCAGTTGTTGTCTAGCTGTGATTTGCTATAAAGCCATACATTTTTAAAGAGTTGGCTATAAGAGTGATTCCTTTCAGGTGCACTTGAAAAGCTCCAGACCACTTTCGTCCTCACTCTGCCAAGTGGCATCTAATAGGTTGTGTTTGGTGTCTCTTCTGGTCGCACCCGGTTTCATATTCTATCTGGTGCTCTGGCTTTTAGGTAAGAACAGTGGGAGAGACCAAGAAAAACGTTGTCTCCGTGGTTCCTGCTGTGGCATTTTGGTTTATAAAAGGCTCTTCTGTGCTGCAGGAGGGTTTGCTTTTTTTCATACACACACATCACTATGTCACCATGCCCTCCCACACAGGGGGCGAGACTTCAAAAGATGTCTCACCAAATGACACATTTATAATGGTTAGCAGGAATATCTGGGAAAAGTCCCGACTGGACCAGGAAGCTTGGATTGCGTCCGAGCTGACATATGCCACAGTCAATGAGAAATCTATGGAAAGATGACGCCTTGACAAACGGCCTATTTTAACTTCCTAATAAAATATATTCAAACTAGCGGTTTTAGAAGGTTAACAACTAATGACATAATTAGGCTTAGGTACTGGGAGATTTCCACGCCGAGATCATATTAATGTCTGAGAGAAAATATTTGATCATCTATTGTACAGCTGGCTTGGAATGACGTCCGTCCAAAGCAAGAGCATGTGGAGTCATACCAGACATGAAGCCTTAGTGCTGGCTGGTGTTGCCAAGCCTTTGTACCAAGCCATTAGCTGCAGACGCATTACCAGAATAACGGAGTTACTCGTGTGCTTCAGCTCAGTTCTCCTGTTATATAACCCATAAAGCTTTGAGGGGGACATTCTCAAGACACTGCAGGGGTGAGTGAGCACTCCTGTGTCAGGTCAAAGAAACTCGCATAATGCCACCTGCAGGGGACCCAAACATTGCCTCTCTGTGACTTTCTTTCCAGCGGTCAGGTTCAGGACCTCAGGGAATAACCTGCCAGCCCGTTTTGCTGTTGCAGTGTTTTTCTCAATCACATAGATTGGCTCATGGGGCACCGCAGGGTTTTTAATTTAGAGGAAGGTATTCTCATTGGTCTAATCTCTGCTTCTCTAATATGTCTACTGGTCACTGATTGAGGGTATGCTTGTAACGTCCAGGTGGATTTGTTGTTTTTGTCGGCATCACTGTGTACTGATGGAGGTTTTGAGGACAGCAAAGCTACAAGTTGATCTTCTTAGCGTCGGCCTGAACGGTTAATGCTCCGAGTGACTATTCGTGGATGTCGCCCTGCTCAGCTCTATGTGATGAACACACATTGATAACCGTGGCTGACTCATCTTGTTAATTGGCTTTATATGGACACTGGAAGGTTTCCTTTTATGCTCCAGTCTTTATAACCCCTGTGTGTTTGTAACATTCAATGCTTCTGAAGCGTCCTGCTGGGCGGCTTGAAATTGGATTGCAGAGTGATTAATTGGATGTGATAGTCTAACAGCTGTCCCGTTTTAATTAGCTGCAACGCCGAGGAAGATTAAATCTAATTCAGTGTGCCAGTCTAGGAGAGTATTTGCCCTTCTTTAGATATTCAGCTAAATCCTTTTTCCTCCCTTGGTAACATTCATTCAGCCAAGAAGCAACAACCCAATGATGTTAAGTGTATAGGATCTTTAAAATATTCAGTCAGTACATTAAAACTACCGTCCTTTTAAATTATATTGAAACCAAGGATGTTTTACACCCACATCCAAAATGTAGGTGAAGATACTGAATATTTCCCTGTAGTATTTACCTTTTGAACTCAGTATTTCTTTTGTGGCTCATTGGAATAGCTGCAGAGAAATTTCCCTTTTGCGCTGTACTCTTATCAGAGGTTGGGAGGAAGAGCGTGGCGGCTCTTCATCAAGAGGATGATGACGCCGCAGATGCACCTCATTCCCAGTGGGGGTTATAAGGATACTCCGCTTTCAGCATGTCTTGGATTCGCTGAATGCGAAGGCACGTGGAGTCGGGACGAATAGGTCTCGCTTGAGAGAAGCCGTGGTGACTCGTGGACCGGCAGATTAAATGGAACCAAACGTCGGTGTCCACCGACAACACGCAGGTGCCGAGAATTAGAACACACCACCGGGATGACTCTCTGCGAGACTTGAGGACGTGAGTCATTCACAGGTCGTAGTGTCTGCGAGAGTTACATGTGCACGTCGATTGGGTTTGAATGTTCACAGAGGGTTTCGTGGGCCGGCTGCTGGGGCAGGTGTGTTTTCAGGGCAATGAGCTATTGGTGATCGCTATCTGGAATGTAGAGTGTTGAGCAATACGATGTTGCTGACAGTCTAAGGGACACTTGACATGTCCTCTCACCCCCACCCTACACCCCTCCGTTACTGCACTACCGCATGTGCTTGTCGCTCAGTATTTTTAGCTGCATGCCTCAGTCATAAGAATATTACGCATCATGTGTAGTACTTTATCAGTGTGTTGAACAGTGTTGTGCGTTCAGTCATTTTCCTCCTGAGGCACTAAAGGTTTTGATGAATAGAACAAGAAGTATGAGCAAGGCAGTCATGCTTGTTTTTATTTCCGTTAAACAAGCACTGAGCGGCCACTTTATAAGCTACTCCTGTTCAATAGCTTGTTAACACAAATTGCTAATCAGTCAATCACATGGCTGCAAGTCAATGCATTTTGGCATGTAAACGTGGTCAAGACGACTTGTTGAAGTTCAAGGCGACAGTGTTGTGGACCAAAAGGCCTTGTGGATGTGAGAGGTCAGAGGAGAATGGGCCGACAGGATCTCAAATAACCTCTTGTTATAACCAAGCGATTCAACAGCAACAGCATCTCTGAACGCACGACACGCGCAACCTTGAAGAAGATGAGCTAGAGCAGCTAAGAACAGGAAACTTGAGACTGCACAGATTCACCACAATGTGGAAAATAGAAGATTGGAAACGTGCTACCTGGATTTTTTATAAACTAACACTCCATCCTGGCTTGTATCAACGGTTCAGGCTGGTGGTGCTGGTGGTGTAATTTCTTGGCCCACTTTGGGCCCTGCTGAGGAATGTTTCAACACCACGAAGAATTAAGGCAGTTCTGAAGGCAAAAGGGGGTCCAACCTTTTTACTAGCAAGGTGTACCTTCGATTGTATTTTAGATTGAGTTTATTGTTTATTTCTTTTGAAAGACACATCGGATGTCATTGTGGCAGTCATGGTTTAAAGCTCCATTTTTAACATGTAGTTCATCCTACCGGCTGAAAGAAATCAAGCTCCGTCGTTGTTGGTGATGATGAGCAGCCACTAGTAGACATGGATTATGAAAAAATAAAAAGAATCCGTGTAAAGGTTTTTCAGACAGCAGATGGTGATCCACCCACGCAGTGTCTTTCCCCACATGGTGATGCAGCTCCAGTACACCGGCTGCAGTACTCCATATGTTCTGCACATGCTCTGCTCTGCCAAATAGGGCGGCCTGATATAATAAGAAGCTCAACGAAAGCCCGGGTTTCCGGAGACAGTTTCGAAACTCGGGGTGAATTCTACTGGCGGCTCCCGCTACATGCTAGTTACATGCTACACTATTACTAGTTTCTAATACTGATGGAGCCAGAATTAAAAGATGGTTCAGTGTTGGTGACGTCGTAACCACCAGAATTCTCTATCCTGACATCCGATCAAAGCTCAGATAGAGGCGTGTATATATAGACGAGTCCTTTGCCTTTTACGCTGTGTGTTGCAGGTGTGAAGTGACCTTGGCGCCCACTCTCAGCTGTGTCAAGTCGGCCTCCTTTTTGTGCGGTGCTTGATTGGATGCTGACTTTGCAGCTGCAGTAGTGTGGTCTGCGACAGCGGTGCGTTCAGTGTGTGCTGCATGTCCTGGTATGGGAGGGATAAGTTGAACTGCAGCAAGTAATGGTTTTGTTGTTATTTCCATAAAAGGTTATTTGTCTTATCTAACATTAAGGCCAAATTAATACACGCTTAGATATTCCTGTATATATGCCTTGAAATTATGTAGATTTAGCGAGTTCTAGATATGTTGCTGCACCCTTAAAATGTTCCTTCCTAATATTTGGAGGTGTATGCATCTAGGGATTGGAGGATATGTTGTTGTGTGAATTGATGCGGCTTGAATTCCGATGTTCGTTTTAAGGTTATATTTCGGTCAACAGGTTCATTGGGATTTCCTTAGCAGGCATTAGCACGGTATCCTTGGTAACAGTCTGTCTAAATCTGTGGCAATTCGTGCAACACCTGTGCTGTGTCACCTGTGGCCCAGCCGTCTCTCAGATGCGCCCGCTCACTTTCCCATTAGACAAAGAATAGCGCTTTGATGCCGGCAACGCAGATCAGGGGGATTGATGTTCAAACGAGATCGTTGACATAGTTGGGAAATGCAATCCTTTTAGTCGGGATTAAAACCTGGCAGAACAGGAGGCATGTGTCCGGTCATGTGTGCACCGGGCGGGACGACTTACTCGCAGCGGGGGAATCGCCTTTTTCGGACAAACAATGTTACTAGTTCAACTTCGAGTGGGTCATTTAAAAAAAAAAAAAATTAAATTTTTGTTAGAAGTATGAACTCTCTACCAGGCAGACTAATGGAGTTACTGATTAGACAAAAGCAGATGGTTCATGCTCTAGGTAAAAAGTAGTAGTAGGAGGATGCTTAAAATATGTTTTTACTTTTTAAGGACCCAGAATGAATCAGAAAGTGGTTTATATTTAAATATATACATATATATATATATATCTTCACCATTTTCCATCTCCCCTTTTCCTTCTCTAGTTGGCTGAGTATCGCCAGAGAAAAGCTCACGCGGACTCCCAGAAGAAACAGAAAAAGAAGAAAAAAAAGAAGCCCGGAGAGGACTCTGAGGGGGATCCACAGGGAGCGGTGGAGGTCGAGGACGAGGTCTCAGGTGGAGGACAATATGGATCACAAGAAGGAAATAAAGATCCACCCACCACGGAGTTCACCTTTGCCAGGACACTGCGGAGCGGAGACACCATCAAACATGACCAGACGTACACCATAGAGGTAAATAACTTGTTTCAGTAGTTCACTAATCCCACGTACAGAATCCCTAAACATTATTATTTTTATTTTAATGCATAGGAGAAGAAAACTGCAATTAATTCAAAGTCAAATTTCAGAACATACCCCAAATATTGATAATAATCAACTGGTCCTGAGGCCCGAGTGGACATATATACCAACGTGATTCATTGCATCACTCCATAAACTGGCTGAAACCATTGGAAAAAATTTTGCCTCTAATTAGTGACATGATGAGAGCTCCTGTAACATTTCCAACAAAATTGGCCATTTTGAGAGTATTTTTTAATTGTGGTCTTGTTAAAGTTAATGTTAGGAATTTAGAAATGGGTTTAAAAAGTCAGGGATAACTCAACAGTTAACACTCAATCACTAGCATCATACAATCCTCATGCAGGACCTGTTGTTGCAATAAGACAAGGTGCCACTTTCTTATCAACTATTATAAAATATAATGACTAAAACTATTTTTTTATGCTGGCGCCAGAATATCCCTTCAGAGAGTCCACGCTAAAAACGAGTTAATCGGCTTAATGCTGAGTATTTATACACACACACACACCGTATATTGTGAGATGTTGATGTGTAAATTAACCTTTGACTTTGTATCCTAGGAGTAAAGTTTAGACCTCTCAATATGACTTAATACCCTTTCGAGGTTTGTTTGGAGCATGCTTTCAGTTTGCATCAGTGGACATTTAGAGACATTTAGCTTAAAGGAGGCCTTAAAGTTCTTGTTTTGGAAACAAGAACTTGAGTAGAAGATAATCCTCTGTCATTTTGCTTTAATACTCAACTACTGCTGTTTCACGAGCCTATTGGTGTTCTGGCCCACAGTTTTTGTTATGAACAGGTTTCAGGTTAGCTCAGGTTTTGATTGTAACGAGCCCGTTTTCATTCAAAACATGGTTTTCTCAAGAAGACTATTTAAAAGGATAACAGTATTTTCTCTGTGATCTTAAAACATTTGCTTGACGTTCAAACTTGTAATAAATCATGTTCACTGATCCTCACTGATTCTGATACATATGGAGCAGAAGAAAACCTAAACAGTTTGAAAAATTAAAAGCCACAAGGGTTCGGCCTTCTTTTTCTCTCCACAATTTCATCCCTCAGTCCATTTTGTCGGCGCCGTGCAGCCACTCGTTGCTGACCCCACTGTGCATTTGATGCGTTTCATTCCCACAAATCTACTGGTTGCCATGGAAACAGACAATTGCTCTTCAACAGGTTGAGATGCGTCAGGCTGTGTCACCAACTCTTGTGGGCATGCAGCACTTTTTTTTGCATACTTGAATGTTGATTGAATTTTTTGTTGCGTAAATAAAATAAAGAAGCACAATTGACCTTGAGCGCAGGAATCCTGCTGAAAAGGCTGTGGGGCATTCTGTGTTTTTATGCGGCACGGATGGGAGCTGTTCTGTATTCCAAACAAGTGAAACTTGTGCATTTGAAGAGGCCAAAACATACCGAGTGTGAGAATTATATATGCAGTTGAATGATGTAACCATTTGGAGTGAAAGGGTTTATCCTCGTGTTTTGGTTCTCTTCCACATCTACCGGGTCATGTGGCCTGATTCTCTTGTGAAGCAGGACATGGTTGCTGTGGAAACATAACCGCATCAAAGTTTTCCATTGTCATGTATTTTACAGTCTAAGTAATTGCAAATGCAAGACTGTTGACTCATCAATTCGGCGATCCATTAGAATTACACAGCTGCAAGTTAGCTTTTTCTAAAATCTAAAATGTTCATTGGCTGGGTGCACTTTGCTGTGCAGAATTTGATGATTTGCAATCAAAGTGAAACGTGTAATCGTTTCTCCCTCTCTGGCCCCCATACAGTTGCACTGTTTGACTCAGGAATCCAAAAATGGACCTACATAAAGACCATCATTACTCTGTAGGAGTGAGAAAAGAACTGCGGGGCAGAGACTGCAATTTTCTTGGCCAATTCAGATTCTATTATGCATTTTTAAAAAGCCTGACCATCAGATTTTCTTTCTAAGAAGTACAGTTGACAGCAAGCTCCCGTCATCAGAGTCAGTTTAGACCTGCATTGTTCATCTCTGGTGGTTATTTGCATCGTAACTCACAATTTAAATTATAAACAAATGCATGAGTCTTTATTTAGACACCTTCTTTAACTAGGAAAATACATATTGGCATCATTAGTTCTAAAGGAGCAATAAACAACCCTTGGAGCATTAATATAACAGAAAACAACAATTTGCTGTGTATGGAAGCAAAGGTTTCCCCGGTTTCTGTTGACGTTGTTAGCGCTGTTAGCGCTGCTAGCTGTAAGCCATGTCTAATATCTGCTTTGCATTGTGAAAACATCTGCTTCAAACTGTTTTTAATACAGGAACTGCAAGTTAAAATGTCGAATGTCGTAAATTTGTCCTGATACAAGTCACGGTTGATTGATTGTCAAGATTGATATTAAAGATTAAAGTAGCATAACAAAATAAGAATTGATTAAATGCTCCTGGGATGAAAGGTGAGATATTTGACTTGAATTATGTTTTTTTGTGATGCCTTTGCTGTCGTCTCCAATCATACACTTCTGTCGTGTTTTTGGATTGAAGTCCCTTAATTCTGGTCGCTATATCTTATCTTAGTTTTCTACATTCACTATTGATGAAATGCTGTTAATCTTCTCTGTTGCAGCCGGAGAGTGAAATGTCCACGACTGCTGAAGATTATTCGTCAGAGGTGAGACCATCGTCCTCAAAATACATTTATCAATTTGTGATATGAACCTTTTCTTCTCCTTTTGGATATTTGATTGAATTCAAACATGTTTAACAATGCCAGTTTTACACAGGCACAATTTGCACATGTAAAGGCTGCGGGTGGGTTCGTGGTCACGCATGTGGCTCACTTCCTGTTATGGAGATCCATTCAAGACCCTGAAAGAGATACTTTGTGGATTTTTTTGTTCATAATAACAGCTTAATTGTTATTTTGAGTTGTTGTTTTAATTGGACATGTTGGTGGAGAACTGATGCAGCCAACAGTAAACTACCAGACTAGTTTGAACAATTTCATATGCTACTAAAATCTTTCTGTGGGAATGAACCAAAAGTCAACTGCCTAACCTGGCAGCTCATTTTTAGAAAATATAGGGTCTTACTTTCAGTCCTTCGCCTGTTCTTATAATGTCCCGACTCCCAAATCTTAATCTTTCACTGATAGCATTGTGAATTACCAGGTGAATGGGTGCCATGATGAGATGACAGAGAACGTAATGATGCCTTCAAAGGATTTGATCTGGGTACAGTAATCTGATCGAGCCGTTCTTTTGTCTCAGCTAGCAAACCCACCGGCCGCTGGTCATAACTCACTTTGCTTCTACCGTTTCCTCTGCAAGATTTTCTTTTTACCCACTAACCAAGCCTGTTCTATGCTGCTGACTCCACGCCTACATATATATGCCAGGAATTAGTTATCATGTGGGGGAAAAGAGAAAAATAGTCATGTTTCAGGAGCTTAGGAGGGAACAGGGCTTTGTGACATTTCCGTGCCGTAAGCTGTAATGACAGTTACACAAAGAGCTTCTGTCTTGAGGTTCATGAGATGATATTTGCACAGAGGGAACAGAAACAAGGGAGTACTTATCAACGCAGCATCTTTTCATTTCTTAAATCTGTTGCATATTTAAAGAGTTGTCTCAAGTCAGGTATAAAAATGTAATTGAAGGGATAAAATGACAATATTTAACCCTGTTTTTCAATTAATGATTTTTTTTTGATCATATTGGTAAATGTTGGAGTTTCATTTTGTCCCTTTTTAATTAACAATTCGATCTATCAGCAATCTGCGAAATTAACGACAACTGGGAACGATAAATAGGTTTTTAAAAGTACTGTTCTAGTTTTTGTTCACGTTTGCTTCAGCAACAACATTTTGATTTCATTGACGGTTTAATCTTCAGTTTCGGTTTAACCGTTGCAGGCTTTTTTAACCTCACCTCATAGCTAACAGACTTTTCCTGAACTGCTTTGGGTGATTGCATTTAATCCATTATCTTATAAAGCTGGTTTTGGCCATACCTCCGTTCATAAAGCAATAGTTGGTAACATTAACATGTTTTACTATACATTCCTTCTTGTGGCTCCTGGCTCTTGTAACTAACTGCTGTCGCTCTGTGGTGGCTAATGAGCTGAGCTCATTTTGGAAATCTTTGCTTTACCGAAAACCTTTTTAAAAAGTGCTGCCTTTCCTGTTCAGGAGGAGGTGGAGTCCCTGCAACAGGTGACCAAAGGAGGAAGGATGGAGGACGCTCTAGCCGCCAAGACCCAGGCAGTGGAGGAGCTGAGTCGAGAGCTTGAAGAAATCCGAGCTGTCTTTGGCACAGAGGGAGTCCACCAGGTAAATTACATTTCATTACAGGTTATAATACCGCCAAATGATTTGTCGTCCGGCAGTGATCTCTGAAGGACATTTTAAGGGCACAAACTTGTTTGTTCCTTCATCAGAACGCTCTGTAGCCTAAACAATCACCACATTCCTGGTGTCTTCATAACACCTTTTTAGCCTTACAAGCATGTGTATTTACTTTTGTCTTCAAAATGCCCTTTGAAAATGTCCACGTATTTTGCTGTTACGCTCTCCGAACAGGGATTTAAGTTAATTGCATTTGATTTTTCTAGCTGCAGGACTTTGAGGCTGCTCTGAAGCAGCGAGATGGCATCATCACCCAGCTCACGACTAATCTTCAGCAGGCTCGTGATGAGAAAGACGAAATCATGAAAGAATTCCTGGAACTTACAGAGCAAAGCCAAAACCTGCATATTCAGTTCCAGCAGGTGGGAAATAAGTCTCAGCTTAGCTGCTTATATCAGCTTTTCTGCCATACACTTCCTACCCTCGCAGGTTGCTACACTGTCCTTTCCATCCATGTATTCAATAATAAATAAATGCGTGCCTATGGAAAACTCCCAGCTCCAGGCGGGCGAGACGCTGAGGAACACCAGCCACAGCAGCGCAGCCGCTGATCTTCTGCAGGCCAGGCAGCAGCTCCTGCAGTACCAGCCGCAGCTAGAGGAGCTCCAGCTCCAGCTCAGCCAGATGGAAGTGGTGAGATAGTGGGATCCTTACACGTGCTCTGCTGAACGGAAGTGGTTATACAGCATGCTGTCAATGTTGCCCCGCCATTTCTAATCATTTGTTTTTCTTGTAGTCACTACGCCGGTCAGAAGAATCGTTCGCACAGAGGATTAACGAAAAGGACCTGCTAATTGGTGAACAAGAAAAACGTATTTCGAGCCAGAAGCAGTTGTTGGCAGAGTTGAGGACGGCGGAGCAGTCTTTTGCACAAACGCTGAAAGATAAAAATCACTTCATTTCGGAGCAAACCGCAATAATCACAGAGCACGAGCTGTCGCTCACGCTGCTCAGAGAGGAACTTGCTCATGTGGGGCGGACTACTGACGAGAATATTATAAACCCATCAGATGAGAAAGACTTGATTATAGCGGAGCAAGAGAGAGTCATTTCAGAACGTGACTGCTCTCTCACCCAGCTGGAGGATGAGCTGGAGTCTTCTGAAAGACGCTTGCGTGACCTCCAACGGCAAATGGCTGCAAAGGACTCAGAGCTTGAAAGCTGCATGGAGGATTTGGAGAGTAAAAGGTCTGATTTGGAAAGCCGTAAAGGTGAAATAGAGAGCTTTACGTTGGCATTGGAGGAAGCGCGAGCGGAGTTAGAAAGCTGTAAGGGGGAACTTTCCGCCTCCCGACACAAAGAGCGAATGTCCTCCAACGAAATCATGCAGCTCATGGGTACCGTGGAGGACCTGCAGAAGCGTTGCCACCAGGGCAGCCTGTCCGAGGGTGACACCATCCAGCAGATGCAGGGAGAGACTTTGAGGAGGCTCGAACTTCTCAGGGCAGAGCTGGATGAGATGTACGGCCAGCAAATAGTCCAGATGAAACGGGAGGTTAATTTGCAGCACGCAGCGAAAGTGGAGCAGATGACCGAGCAACATCGCGCAGAGCTTGAGCTTCTGAAGGCACAGCAACTGTCTCAAAGCTCCACGGTTTGTGTTGAGGTGGACACACTCAATGCAAAGATCAGGGAACTTCAAGAGACATTAGAGCAGTCCCAAGCAATGCAGCATAGAGCCAGACAGGAGCTTAGCCAACTTGCCCAAGAGAAGGTTGACCTGCAGGCCAAGGTTGAGGATCTCCTCGAAGATCTCCGTTCCGCTAAAGAGAAAGTGGAGCAGGTCTCCCACAGCCTCGTCTCCCAGGAAAGCCAACAGGTTGAACTGAGGCGCCTCCAAGAGGCCACTGACAATCTAAAGAGCGAGCTCGCTGCCGCTCAGAAGGCGGCACAAGAAGCGGAGGTGCAACACGACTCCGAAACCACCAACTACAAGATCAAGCTGGAGATGCTGGAGAGGGAGAAAGATGCCGTGCTCGACCGCATGGCGCAGTCTCAGGAAGCAGAGCTGGACCGACTGAGGACTCTGCTTCTGTTCAGTCATGAGGAAGAGCTCACTCTTCTTAGGGAAGACCTGCAAAGGGAGAACTTCCTCAACACAGAGAACCTCCTGAATGAAGCCGCTATCAAACACGAGAAGGCGTCGGCGACGCTGCGCAGCGCTTATGAGGATGAGCTGCATTTGTTACGAAGAGAAAAAGCCGAGTTTGCCACCGAGCGAGATGAGCTTTTTCACCAAATCGTTGGACTCAAGGAAGATCTGAAGCTGGCTTTGCACAGCTCCAAAGCAGATGAGCTTGTCCAGCAGCTTCAGGAGCTCCAGGTAGAGCTCGATGAACTGCGAAAGGGAGGAGGAGAACGAGCTCGAATGGAAAGGGAAATTCAGTCATTGCATAAAAATGCAGAGATGCTTGACAGCCAGACTAAAGAGAGAGAACTATGTTGGGAGAGCAAACGGAAACAGCACCAATTGGAAAAAGAGGCATTGATAGAATCTAATAAGGCTTTGAAAGAAGAGTTGAACTCAAAAGTCCTGAAAATTGAGTCACTCGTTGCAGAGAACAATAAAATACAGCAACGAGTAGTCAGGCTCGGTGAGGAAATTGAAACGCAGAGGAGCACTTTCTCCTTCGCCGAGAAGAATTTTGAGGTAAACTACCAAGAGCTGAAGGAAGAGTACAAATGTCTTATTGAAGCAAAGACGCAGTTAGAGGAAAGGACACTGAAGGAGACACTTGAGTTTGAGGCGAAGATTGCCAGTCTTCAGTCACAGGTTCGGGCGCTGGAGGAGAGCGGCGGAGATCTCAAAATGGAGGATGTGAGTACAGACGGACGGGAACAAGCCGTGATCGAAAAAGATACCACCGAGCTAATGGAGAAGCTGAATGTCTCGTTGAGCGAGAACGAACGCCTGGCTGAGAGGCTCTCCGAGGCTACAGACCGCCTGATGTTTACTGAGAGCAAAGTTGGGCGGCTGGAAGAAGAGCTGGCGAGAGCGAGACAAGCCAACGTGGAGGTTGCCCCGCAAAGTCAAAGCCCTGGGAAAGAACTCCAGGAGGAGCAAGACACTATCAGGGAGCAGACATTTGGGGAGGACGCCCAGAGAAAAGCCAAGTCCCAGCCAGAAGAGCGAGCCGGTGAACCGGTTTGCCCCTCTGACGACCATCACCTTCAGATTCAAGCCCTGCAGGAGGAGATAAAGGCTCTTCGGTCCCTCCTATGGGCAGCCGAGCCCGAGAGAGACGCCACCCGGCAGACCTCGGAGCTCCACGGACCTCGGCAGACTCCGTCCGCCGCGGCCGCGGGGGAGGAGGAACCTGTTGATGGACGATCACCCCCCCACAAGCCCACAGACCCAGGGTCAAGTAGGAACAGGAGACGGCGGAGGTCAAAGCAGGAGCGCAAACTGGGCAGCGCCTTTTCAGACTGCAGAGAGGAAAAACAAAGGGAGGAGGCAGTGGGGGAGGAAGAGAGCGCAACAAGTGCTGCAGAACCGGAGATGCAGCCGCAGATGGAGAGGCAGGTTATGTCATGTTCGCAGGAGAGGGCCAGCGAGGAGGACTCCACTGACGGACACCAGGGGGACAGAGACTTAGTCCACGGACAGGTAGGCGCTCTCGTGCGTCCCCGGCTTTTCTAAGTGTGATTAAATTACCCTTTTGTGTGACGGGGGGGGAAAAAAAGGAGCGTAGTTGAAATTGCATGCTGTAAAAATGCCAGACTCGCAATGAATTTAAAGCGGTAGCCAGATGAAGCTTTCACATGGAGCCGAGTACGGCTGAGGCGTTTCAGCAGTGACATTTTTTCACTCCAGTGACGACCAGGAGTGTCTGTGCGGCTCGTCGCTGCCTCGGGGAGCGACGCTGCAGCCTCACTGTTGCTTCTTAAAGAGCCGTATGTTTGGGTTTTTTTTTAAGTTTGTGCCGACCATTTGGCGTCATTTCTTCTGGGCTACTGCGGGTGGAATAACGTAAAAGAGAACACACACACACACACAGCACAGCCTGCACAAAACAGGGAAGCATTAAGACCATTGGCATTCTGCTCATTTCTACATAAAAGGAACACCTCACAATATGTATGATCTCCACTCATTTGATGCTGCTTTGCTTCAAAATTGAATTTGACGTTGTTTTTTAAAATGGGCTGAAAAGAAAACAATCCCCCGCAGATTTCTGATTCTGATTTCTTTAAATCACTGACACTGGGATGAAATGTGTCCATTCTAGTTTCTTTCCATCTTGCAGGGAGTAAAGGGTTTCAGGTGAGAGGCCGTTTCACCCCTTTCCTGTCTGTCACGTCAAGCTGCGTCATTGAATCTGTGTTCCATATAGTTTTTGTCACATCCTGGGTTGGAAACACCGCATATGGTCCAGAATGGAATGTTTAATGTCGAAGTCTTTTTAGTTGACAGCCCACTGATCAATGACTGCACTTAATTGAACAAATCCTTTCATTCTCCTCCTCGGGAAGCGATCGTTCATGCAGTGTCTTTCCGTTTTCATAGTTGTCTGCTTTTGCACGCGTAACATTTGAGAGAGTTTTAATATTTTATAATATTTGTCTTGTGTTTGCCTGTTTAGGTGAGCAGCCATGGGACGGACCACAGCGCCGAGCCCGTTGTGTGCCAGGGAGCTGGAGGAGAGACCTCTGAGCATGTAAATGTCACTTAAGCTCACATCCCGCCCTTTGATTTTCAGTGGTGCTTTGAAACATCATACAGCATACCATGCAGGAGCATTTTGGGGTTCTTGTCCTAAATAGCTCTCACTTACTAAAATGTGATTCAAAAATCGTATAAACTCAGGCTCCTTTCAGCTTGACGAATGGCAGCAGATCACCATTAACATCCCCGAAATGCTGTACCAGGTTGCCTGTTTCATCGATGGCAATGTAGTAAAAAAAAGACTCAAAAGTCCTGCAGTTTACCATTGTAGCAATTAAATGAACAAAGGAATATTCAAAATTCAAAAATGAATAAATGAACCCACCTGATTCAACCGTGTCAGTAGTGTACAAAAGTTGTCAGGCAGAGCCGTGCTGTGAAAGGAAGAAAAGGTTCGACGTAGAAGCTCCAAACATCTTTCTAAAGCGAAGCGCAAACATTCATTTTGTAATTTTATTCAGTTTTATTTTGGTCACGTACAATATCCAACTACAAATCAACTCAGGTGTTCTGTTTCTTAGTCAACCTCATCATTTTTGTCATAGAAGTGATTCTGTTTTTGCTGTGCGAGTCGCTGCGGCACATCATAACACAGCCGCTGAGTGTTTGTCAGGCACTGAAAAGCCCCCATCTGCATGTTTCAAGCAGCAGCATCTGAGCCGCCTGAAAGGACTCGTGCACTACACGTGTGGTGGAGCGGATGTGGAGATTGCATCATAACAAAACATTTTAAATACAGCCTAATTCAAATGTAGAGTGTGCTTTACAACCCATCTGACATCAAAGATAAATGAATCCGTTTCATATTTGTGTTACCCTAACAAATCTGTGCTAATGCATAATTAGAAAAAGAGCCTTTTGTTCTGTCACAGTTGTGATAATAGCCGACCTCTCATCCGAAACGCAGATGGCTTGTGCTTACTGCACCCAGAAATAATAGAATTGATGGAAATATGTTGTTTGATGAGAGGGATATTTCCCCTATTCCTCTATTTACCCTGATTACCAAATGGTTGTAGCATGCTGCACACTTTAATATATGTTTAATATTAGTAATAAAGTCATATGTACCTTTTTACTCTTCACAGCCTTTCCAAACTTTTCCAAATATTTCAACCATACATTTAGTGTTGTCTCGTTGGCCCGTTAGCTACATGTTCAATCCAACCGTGCTAATGGGACGACATGTCTTCCTGTGGTTAGGGTGAGTGCAGGTTGCAGTTCGAGGCCCAACGCATCAGCCTGTCTCAGATGCACGCCGCCCAACTTGAGCTGCTGCAGGAGGGTTCGGACGCCCGCGCTCACATCCTGGAGCTGAAGCTGCAGAGCTGGAAAGATCGCGGTGAGCAAGGTGAGCGGTTGTGTAGCCGGTGGCCTTTTGTGTGCATTTGTGTTAGTGGTGAGGCATCCCCTCAGCGATGGTTTTGATTTATCATTCATGAGGGATCAACACAGATAGCCTGGGTATCTGGCATTTGTTTCGGTTCCCTGTTTGTTGTCTGTGTGAAACGTAGGAGTTATTCACTTCAGTTATTATTTTCTTTTTCTTTTCAGATGATCCAAAAACTTTCAAACGCCACAACTTGTTAAAAGCTGTCTCAGAAGAATGCAACGAGATCATCCAGGTAATATGTGGCTGTATTGTGTGAGGTTTTCAGAATTGTATTAATTTGTGTTGCCATGTCACCGTTTCGGTTAACACGATCTCTCTCTGTTTTGGGATCAGTCTTTTCAAAGGATGTTTGGTAAACAGTTTTTGGAGAGTGTTGGTGCAGAGGACCAGCCGCCCCCTTCAGTAGAAAGACCCGACACTAGTGAATCCAGCTCCATCATCCTGGAGGCCAGAGGTAATTTGTCTCTCAAATATATCTAATTACAGTATAACAAAGGATTACAGGTGATATAACACATATTTCCAATGTATGATCCCCTGTGGGCAATAATTAAGTTCAAATTATATCTGCAAGGTGCTTTTAGATTAGAATTCATTTTTGTGATCACTTAGCCGGAAGGAAAAACTAAAAAAACTCGTACTCAAATTACATAAGTGTCTCCTCCGAAATCCTTTCATGAACAAAGCAAATGGGTTTCTCTTTAGAGCTCTGCAGAGATCTTCAGCAGGCGAGGGAGAGGATTGAAAAGGAACATTATCGACTGACGCTGCTCCAGACCCAGCTGAGAGCTGATGGGAACAAGGTCAAAACACATTTTTAGAAATCTGTCTGTAAATGTTTAATTGGCTATGAAATAGAAGATAGCAGTTTGATTTACATGCATAGGTGGGTGTATTCTGATGTATTCTGCAGTTTGTATGAAATGTCCACACTTTAGCATGTTTGGTGAATAAATAAGATGATAACAAACTAACAAATATCTGTCGGTCTCCTAGATGACGCAGCTGCAGTCGGCATATGACGATCTGAAGAGCAGCAGTGAGAAGCAGAACTCTGACCTCCAAGTTTCTAGCTCAAGTCCCTCTACAAGTAAAGGTAAATGGAAAGTTATTATTTTTTTTACAGAAAAAGAAAAGCAAACAATCGCTAATGTCCGGTCAAAACACCTCTGTGTTTAGCAGCAAAAGGAAAACAAACACTTTGTTTATATATGCAATATATAATGTGAACTGTGGCCGTGATGACCAACATATAAATTAACCTGTCCTCCCTTTTCTTTCAGGAGGGGTGTGCAAATGTATTTTTGTATTATCTTCTGTTTTTTCTCTTTTCTCCTCTTCTCACTTGAGGTTCTTATCTTTAGCCGCAGTGACAAATTCAGTTTCCAGTTGTGCGTATTAAATTTCACATTCCCCTTCTCTCTTGGTTAGATCCAACGATCTCCCTCCCCGAGGAATTTCAGCGGCTTAAGGTGGAGGAGCAGGAGAAGCAGCTCCAGCTGGAAGAGAGTCACAGACAAGAGATGGAGCGTCTCCGAGCTCACTACCAGCAGCAGGCCACTGAGAGCGAGGAGCGCTACGCCACCGAGCTCTTCATGCTGCAGCAGCGGCTGCAGGAGTTGGCAGGCGCTCAGACCCATGACAGGTGACGAGGCGACACTGTGACTTGTTTTTACATATGTGGAATATCTTTTTTTATGCATTCAGCCTAAGGCAATAAAATCTACTATAGTTATCGTTAGAGATAACGATTATGGCAAAAGAAAATGTGTATTTTATAGGAGGCATTTTAGTAGTGCTTAAAATTGCACTTACCTGCTCACACTAGTTTTGCTGCAGTAGTGCACTTATTGTAAGTTGCATGGGGTAAATCTGCTAAATGTAATGTAATGTAAAAATTGGAACCACAGGAAACAAATTGGGTGACATTTAGATTATTTTTTGAATCCAGGTCTCCAAAATACAGCTATAATCTATTTTGAGACGGTACATGTCTATTGTGTTTATACACGCACTAATAACTTTTTTCACAGCCTCCTTCTGTTTCTATGCAACCTGAGGTGCTGCTGCCCTCCACTGTTTGATAGCGTTAACATGATTACTCCATTGGTTTTCAACACATGTCTTACTTTTTTCCCCACTGTCATGTTAAAGGGAAATGATTCCCAGTATGATTTCATCAAAGGTAAACTTTAAAGCTTTTGTTTTTTCTTTCTGTTTTCTTGGCTATCCAGGGCTCCAGAGTCCAGCTCTGAGGGGATGGAGGAGTACGGAGAGGAACTAAAGGTTTGGCCTCTACGTTTTGCCCTGATCTAAATCTTCTATGTGGCAATGCATGACATCTCACTACCAGCTAACACGTGTGCACGCATCAAGACGCTGTGACAGTGAGGGTGGGTGGCAGGGTTCAGTGGCCGCCTTTAGGCTAAAACGTGCCCTAAATTCTCAAGCATTGCTTCAAGAGCAGCATCACAAACGGCCCTATACCAACGATTTGAAAGCATTGGACGTTACATAAACTGCCGCGTCAGCGTGTTCCTCATGAACGCAATCCGACGTATTCTAGCGTCTAACGGAGGACTCGGCCTTGCGTGAATGAGCTGCACTCCATCTCTCACTCACGTCACTCCAACTGCGTCTTTCCCCTCCCGCCGACCTCAAGTTTCTCCAGCTCGTGTGACTGCTGAGATCAGAGGGTAAGATGGGGTAAAGGATTGACGGAGAAGCGACAAACGGAGAAAAATTGAAAGAAGCTGGGCATGATGATGAACTTCTTTGAATGGCTTCAAGCCATTTGGATTTAAAATGTTAAGCTTGAGGCGAGTGTTCCCGAAGAAGCGGAATGACCGATTCAGACAAGAAGACCGGCACAAGACAGGGTGGTCGTGTCTTCGGGGAGCCTTCTCTGTATCCTCCTGCGGGGTGGAGGGAAACAACAGAGTGTATTAATCGAGGTTAAAGAGCAAAAGTAATGATCGGTTAATTTCAGGATCAGCCTCGTGGAACTTTCCACACACTACAAACATTAGTTTGTGTTTTGTAACTTGTAGCCATCCTCCCTCTTTGCAGGCGCTGGGTGAGGAGGAGCTGTCAGAGGGAGGGGTGGAGGTGCGCTGGCCCGTCAGGTCCGAGGGTCTGACGGCACAGCTGCAGGCACTGAGGAAGGCCCTCTTCCACAAGTATGTCCAGGAAGTAGCTGTTCTCAAAGAGCAGCACAAGCGCGAGCTGAGGCAACTGACAGAGGAAAAGGAGCAGGGGAGGAGAACAGAGGAGCGCCCGGAGGAGAAGGGAGAGAGAGGGCAGCATCTCGACAGCATTAACTGGGCAAGAAGCTCCGGCTCCAGTCCCGGGGCGGCTGGGCCAATCGGGCTGGAAGACACGCAACACTGGGAGAGAGTGCAGGAGGAAGTTGCCAAGGTAGGTGTATGTAGTATAAGAAAAAACGATAAAGTTTATAAGGTAGTAGATGACACGGTTGACGTTTTTATAAAGAGTCAATTCATTCAAATGTATCAGTCATACCAGTCAGATCACTGGATCTCGCTTCTTAGATATGAATATTTGCCGGTGATCTTTTTAAATTAAATATGCCTTTTGAGTTGTTGGGTGCAGGTGGGATAAAAAGAAAAGTCCACAACAGTGCATTTTTGGAGTTGTATGTGGTGTTTTGAAGGCAAAACAACAAATAATAATCAGCAATGCTAATCATTAGTTGCACTGCCAGACACATTACATTCATTGGAATTTAGTACAGTTTGATGCCACAATTGTTAATAACATTATATTTATTTTAAGTTTGATTCTCAATGCCGAACCTGAGTTGTGCTAAAACTGGTTGTCCTTGTGTCCATATTATTGTCTGACAGGCCATAGTTCAGATGTCCGTGGAGTTTGCACAGCAGATTGAGCTGGCTCGAATCAACAAGAGTGCCGGCCAGAGGAGCGCCGCTATGCAGACCGGGTCAGATAAAGAGGAGGTGGAGGACAGGGAGCGGATGACTCCCAGAGCTTCTCTCCCTTCGGGCGCCCGGCTGGAGGAGGTGGAGAAGGAGAGGCTGGAGAGGGAGCTGGAGCAGAGGAACGCCGAGATCAGAAAGTTGAAAGAGGAGTTGCAGAAAACCGAATCAAGAGCCGAGCAGGTGAGTGTCATTGAGCTGTCGAGATGAAACGTGTCGGTTCCACTTTCCCCACATCACGCATTTCATTCATTTCATCTGTGATTACGTCCTTGAGGCACTTTGTCGCAATGCAAGTGTTTGCCGTCCTTAATTATAAATGCTTGAATTAATGTTAAGTGCTCACTCACTGCTTTATTACTACACTAACGAGGTTATGAAGAAAGTGTTTGTTTAAATACTACAATGAATAATGTAGTTTTATCATGTGTTTGAGGGCATTCTCTACTCTTATTTCTCTTTTTGGTATCCACCAGCACTTATCCCATTCAAGTTTTGTGGATGTGTACACACACATATATTTATATATAATACATTTGATGTTTATTTGTTAACCCACAACCATCACAGAAAGGTTGTTGATTGTGCATATTCTCTCTTCTATTTCTGTGCCAGTCTCCTCATGAGGATTATTGGCATACTTGAAGAGCTAATCCAAGGGCCTGCTAGGCTTTCACTAACCATTTATTGCATGATTAAGCTTTAAGTGTGTTATAGCCGTGGCTGTCAGGTTCAGTGTTCTTTCCAAGATGATTTGCTCAATCAGCGATACAGTAATGATAATTCAGTAAAAGAAAGTATTTAAGATTCAGTAATCAGATGGGTTGAGATGGTGAGGAAATGCCTGTGCTTTCAATCAGCGTGGTTAAATGGATTCAAATAACTGGCTTAGTCGGACTGTAATCGAATTATCCGTTTCATGTAAACACCTTTGTCCGACTGTGCGGTCCGACTACGATCCGATCAACACCCCTGGATAACTCGATCCGATCCAGTTGATAGTTCAACTATTGCGGCATGTAACGGTGAATCGGATAACGAGAACGGCGTCTTCTCTCCGTTATCAAATCAGCCAATAGCGTCATTCGCATTCGCTGTGCTCCTATTAACATCATGCACAAACAGTAGAGGGATGTAGCTTCACCTTGCTCTCCGTTCGCCATCTTTCTCGTAATGTTGATGTTGTTGTTGTTGTTGCTTGTTGTTGGTAGTGGTGAATCGGTCAAGCGGAAATGGCTGTATCACAACTACTTGTAATGAAAACAGCGCCACCTATCGTATCGGATATGACATGCTTTCAGGCCAATGATTCGATTTATTCACTGCCATGTATATTGGGATAATAGCACCTCCCCCCGAAAGATGGCATAGTCCGACTAAGCAAAGATTCCAATTATACCATCATGTAAACACACTGAGTGGCAACACTGAATTCAGATCTTTACATTCATTATGTTAATCTCTTCAATATTCTCCTGAATTATATGATCTTGATTTTATTATGGTAAAAATTGAAAAAATGTTCAAATAACATGGATGGAACAAATTAAGATTTAAACTTTTGACTGATTCAAATTATGAAACAACTCAGTAACTTTTACTACTATTGTAAAGCCCAAAGAAATATTTTGAATAACTTAATTCAAACTGCATTGCCATGTTCATGCAGCCTAAATCTGTAAAAAAAAAGTAATATATTATTTAAAAGTATTTAAATTTTGATTGACAAAAAAAATTCATCAATGCTACGTCCCCAAAACACGTTTAATCTTCCAGGCATTTGCACTGTATGCTGTCTTTCCCCCCGGACACCATGAAGCGCACCATGGTCCGTCTAAAGTCGCTCTCACTCACCAGTAGTGTCTGCGGGCGAAGCGACGGGAGAAGCGCAGCTGCGTTTCAGTCGTTCTTTCAGGAGATGGAGCTATTGCCTCTGCAAGTCACTGTGCCTCAGGTGCACCTGTTGTCATAGCAGCACAAAGATAGTAGTGTTTCTCTCGGCCGGAGGGAGCTCGAAGTGCGTCTTTGTGCGCGCCTGTTAGTTTGTGCCAGTGTGCTCGTTAAAGGGCGTGTGTCCACGGGCCTGATTTGAATGCACTTTAACTACCGGCCACACATACAGCCAGCCGCCCTGCGAGTTCTTTCTTTTATTTTTATCCAACCCCAACTTTTTCGATGACTGGGCTGCTGTCTGTGTTCTCTCTTCTTCCTGTTCAGGCCTTAAAGAGGAGAGAAGACAGTCAGGAGGAATTGGAGGAGGAGGAGGATCGAGGCGGAGAGAAGGCCGGTGGAGGCAAACTGCCATCAGAGGATGTTGGAGGTTCCTCCGCTAAGGACGTTGAAAGGTAGTGACAGAAACTCCATTCATACGTTTTCATAATGAATGTATTTGAGTTGATTTTTTTTTTATGACTAGCTGTGTCTTTGTTTCGATTTCTATCAATTAAAGACAAAATAGATTACAATTACAATTTTGACTCTTACATAATTGTTTTTGCTGCTTTTAGAGATGTTTTGCGTAACGCCAACGAGAAACTCAGTCAAGTGCTGGTCGACGTCCTGAAGACAACAGCGGCAGCAGAGGAAACAATGGGCCTCCACATGCAAAGTTTGCGTGACGCTTTCAGTGGAGCACAGCAGGCTGCACCGCCCGAATCCACCACGCCGACAGCAACCCGGCCGAGAGCTACGACCGGGCCCGCCAGATCTCATGCTGCAGGCAAGTCCGATCAGATTTGCTTCTGCATAATCTTTAGGCCATCGTCAGACTAACATTCAAACACAGTTTGGGGATGTTTTTTTTATAATGGAAAGGGAAATTTGGGGATCAAAATGCAAATAATATGTTGGGCAGTTCAACCTGTGAGTCAGAATGATATCAGATGTGCCTGCTGTGTGCATGGTTCTGTATAACTGAAGCTGGTGCCTACATGGTAGCTAAAGACGACAACAACGTCTCATGTTAACAGGCTAATCCTAATATTTACGCTGGCTCTCTCATGGGACACGACACTTCTTTGCTACAATATTCCATATCGTTTTATTGGGTTGGATATGGCTGACTTTATTCACATTGTGACCATTGTGGTGAAGTCGATAATTAATCGATAACCACGGACTTGCATAATGCCGTCAGCATAATGAGCACCCCTCTGCCTTCAAACAGCCCCAGCTTTATCCTGGTGCCTTGCTACCATCTGACATTCTTTTCATATAAAGGAAATTAAAATATTAAAAAAGCAATGTGGAGTTTGAACCTTCCTGCTGCCATGGTGGAATTGTATGAGAATGTGTACGCAGGTTTTTCATAGTCGACTGAATGCAGAATGTGTCATGCCGTTTTAAAGGTTATTTTGAACCAAAGGGTGACTTATTAAGGTTCTGTATTTAGAACCATATTGCATCCGTCATGAATATAAAGTACACGTCTAGCTTTTATTGTTTTGTTTCATGTAAGCGTCAAATGTTATTTTAACTTGTAGCTGTTAAAAAAACATCTGTGAGCTTTTCCAAGACACTGTCATAGCTCAGTTAGTCAGAATGTAGGGAGTGAACAAAATCCTGTGATAATATATATCCGGATCGATGTGTGATGTGTTTCTGATCTCTGTACCAGGTCTCTCTGCAGAAAGCTGTCAGGGCAGTGAGACAGCCGCAGACCATGTGAGTCTGTGGTCCGGGGACACTGATGACGGTCAGCAGATGATGGAGAGGCTGCTGCTGTGTAACGAGGAATATCTGATGGGAATCAGCAGGCGGCTCCAAACGGCTTTGGAGAAGATGTTGATGGCCATCACAGACACCACCAACCAGGTACAAACCTTCTGTTAAGTAGCTTGAGATCAATGTATGGTTTTCTGCTCATATTCAGAGCATTGCTCAGGTAGCTCACTTTATTTTATTTGATGAAAATAAGATTTTCTTTTTTTTCTTGCCAAGAACCTGTTGTGTTTAATCTATGGCAGGCGTTTCAGTACAGTTCTTAATTTTCATTTTTGAAAATGTTTCTCTCCACCAAAACAATACTATTTTCACTGTCTTAGTTTTTTAGTTTTCTTTGTTTTTTGAAAATGTAGCACATTCTTGCTGATGAGAGGAGAATATAGCACATACGACACACACCTTTTGACAGTAAGCATACAGGTCTCTCTAAATACAAACTCTGACATACACTCCTGTGTGTGAGCAGAAAGCTCCAGTGACAGATTTAGGCTTTGTCAAAACATTTAAATACCCCCACTCGACACTGTTAACCCCCTCAGTAGGTTCCTACCCCCGTTCACGGAGGCATAATGGGGATGAGGCTGCAGAATGCGGCCGGCAACAAGGTTGGCCTGTCTAGAATTCACACACAAAAGAGCCCCCTCATTCCCAGTGGTTGCCTGTAGATACGAGCTGTATTTACACGGAGCTTTTGTCTGGTCGATCAGCCTATCGTAGGCAGCAGTGCACAGGGCAACTCCACCCCCCTCGCGCCGTCCGTGCAGCGGGCCCACTGTTTCCAGTGTCAGCCCACCGAGATGTGGCCACTTTAACTGGGCCATTGAGTGCGTAACAGTAACTGACTGCACAGCGCATCTTCCCGTTGGCTGAAATTCATGCATTACTCACGCTGAGCTGGGTTTTCATCTTGCCGGTCTAAAAATAGCTTTAAAGACAATTTGGGCCAAGCATCACTGTTGTCCCGGCATCCGTCTGCAGCACAGATTGACTGTTGACCGTTATCTTCTAAATAATTTTGAGTTTTTTGAAAGCTAATTATAGTAATGTAATAAATTTATTAATTTGCAACAATTTCAATTGTTGAGCAAATTATCAAAATAAATATTTGCTTATTCCCTTTTCCAACATGTTATATTTTAACAATTTAACAATATTCAAAATAATACTCTATTTGCAGCCGCATTAGCTTTTTACGACTCCAAGTATACACCATTAACAGGCCAATAACCTTGTAATCAACAAAGCCTCTTAATGGTTTGTTCAATGATCTCCCCCTTGCTATTGATCCGATATCCATTAGTCTTGTCTGCGAGCGCTGCTGGATTGCCACGTCTTGCCTGACGAGCAGCGTCGTAAACTGATTAATTCGACGAAGCCGGTCAGGAATGTGGAGTATCTTTGTGCTGTAAATGATTTGCCTTTGGAAGGTGTTTGCTGACTCATTTCTTACTCCTATTATATGAGACGTGGAAATTGTGCCTCTTCAGTCGGTATGACGTTTGACACGCCAAACACAGACAACAGCTGAGACTAAGAGGCAGCATGTCAGAACACCTTGATCTGTTCTTTCTGCGTCTACGTAGGAAGGGAATCTAGTTTGACAACTTTCTGTGTAAAGGGCGTGTGTTTGTGGGTTATTTGTGTGTGTGTATGGGTAGAGCCTGTGATCTATTTGCAAATCTACCTGGCCCACTGGCTCTAATTACTGAAGCCACACCTGCTTCCCTCCCACTCCTGTGGGAGTATCAGCAGTATCCTGCTGTAATAGATCCATGTAGGAAGTGAAAGAAAAAGCCTCTCCTACTGAGAGGCGCAAACAGCTCTGAAAGTCTGGAATTGAATTGAATCATTTTAAGCACGGGGGTTGACGCAGGTAGAGTGGGTGTAACACAGTGACCGTAGCCCGCCTGGGGTAAGTAAAGCTCGCCTGGTAGAAGAGAGATCCGGCTGGGTGAGTAATAGTATGAGCAGGGGAGCGTGCGTGGGGCGGGAAGGACGGCGATCCTAGAAGGAAGTGAAAAGAGAAAAGTGAGAAAGACTTGAGATCCAAGCCCTGTCATTCCACCCTCGGCAGGTTGTCGCTCGGAGTGAACAACTAAAAGGGGCCGCTGAGAGGTTTCCCTGCAGGTCGGGGGTTACTACCGCGTCATGGTATTGTTAATGAATCTCCAGGGGGAGAGAGAGAGAGGAGAGCGAGCAAACCGGAGCAGAAGTGGGGGTGTGAGCTTTACCGAGCGGCATAATATGGTTTCACTCTGAAGAAAGAAGGTCAGAGAGAGCAGAGAAAGCAGCATCGAAGAGAAGAAATGCTTGCCTCTGTGATCACAAACCTCCTGCGGTCGGATTCAGGAATGCCTTCAAAGCCGTCGGACCGGGATGTGACTTCCACCTGCTGTCATGGATGACACTTTTCTTGGAAGGACTGTTGCCGGATGATTTTCTCTCTCAATAATTACCTGGGGCTTGTTGTACCTCCAGCATGCAGCATGTGATTGGGACGTTGTGAGCGTCAGCTTCTCCAATTGTTGTTTACTCTTGTGTGTGTTTTGCAAACACACAGAGACTGTTGCTTGGAGCTGTCCACACTAGCGTTGCTCAGCGCTTCATTCCCCACTGGACTCTATTCTCATTTGTGGCCGGACAGCTCAGCATGACGGATCATGAAAAATAGAAACGTGATTTGATAGCTCCAGAAAAGGAGCCCCGCCACAACAGCCTTAGGTTGGGAGTCCTCCCTCCATCCATTTACCTTTTACCATGGATTCGTACCGCTCGTACCGGAACTCGGGCTTGCAGAGTACCTCGTGGGTGGAGGTGGAGGACCAGGACGTGTACGAGGTGGAGTCCCGCGTACCCCTTCCCCGACCTTTCCCACTGTGCAGCACTTTGAACGAGAAGAATGCCGTTGTGGTACACACGCAAATCTCTCATATCAATCACAGGACTAATGGTCACCTCCTCAAAGTCATCTCCAAAATCTCCCTGCCCACTCCTCCGTACACAGTAAGTCTACGCAGCCCGTTTCAGTTTGTTATGGTCTTATGAAGCGATGACAGCTGAGTGTCGTTCCTCGCAGGAGCACATCAGCTCTTTTATTATCACCTCTCTCGGTCAGGGTGGTGCTACTACTTCCCCTTTCCCATAATGTTAAACCATACAACCTTTGCTCAGGTGGATGTGAACTATGGAAAGTAGCTGTGGGATGAATGCGAGTGTGTTGGCGGTTTACTGCATGATTATTTCATAGCTGTGCCACTCTGAAAAGCTGCCTTCTGTCATCTGACATGAAGGTCATTAAACAAATATGATATCGTTATCTCAGCCGGTTTCTGTGTGTGTGTTACATCTGCACATTCTGTTGGTGGCCCATGAACTGTGTAGTCAAATCATTTCCAACGCGACAGCAAATTGCTTTTCTAATTTAGGATGAAAGAGGAAATAGCTTGATCTACAAATATGCTTTTTGAATTTAACTTGAATGTAGATCATACATTTAAGGGAACAAGATGGGTTTTTCAAATTCACAGGAAGAGCTTGAATCTACATCTTGATATATTGGATATTTTGAATGTTAGGTGCATATCTTGTTTTAATTTGTTTGTAAAATAATCTGCATTGAGAGCTATGAACTGTGGTCCGTTGTTATGCATTACAGTTAATGAGACTGACATTTGTGTATATACATACTCTATAATAACTCTTTCTGTTTGATTTCAATTTCAACTTGTTGTTCGGGTCATTATTTGCTAATATTTCTTTTATTATTATTATTTAAGTTAAATATAGCTCCATTACCCAACGTTTTTTATTTGAGGTTTAAAAATCTTAGTTTGAGTCAAGCAAAAACACGGGAGGCCACACCAATTAAGCAGCTTAATAGTCCGGCTTTTGCTGATGACTAAAGACATTAAACAGCCGTTTTCACCACCTGAGTGGTTGTCTTGCAAGTAAATACAGTTCGTATGTAAAATCGGTGGAGTGCCCCTTTAGGGCAGCGACTGGTTGTTCTCAGAAGCTCACCTGCAGCGGTCCTAACTCCTTGTGTTTGCGTGTCGCCGTCTCTTCCTTCTCCCCGTCCCAGCTCGAACATGCCCGGCTGACCCAGACCGAGCTCATGCGGGAGTCCTTCCGCCACAACCAGGAGATGAGCGAGCTGCTGCAGAAGCAGGAGGAGCTGCAGGAGCGGTTGTCGGAGGAGGCCCGCGCACGCGAGCAGCTGGCTCTGGAACTTCACCACGCCGAGGGTGAGCTTCTCCCGGATGAAACCGTACACTCGTATATACAATCGCCACAGAGTTTCTCTGGTCCACCTTTATTGGACGCCTTACAGCCGTCGTCTCAATTGATGACGTGACAATTTGTGAAGAAAGAAAGGATCATATGAGGAGGAACTGAGGTGAAAAAAAGCATCACTTTGGGGGAGGGTGTGTTACAGGGAGCGATGGGATCAGCTGTTTTAAAGGAGAGAGTAAAGGAGCGCGAGACCATCTGTGGCGAGAAAATCGACAAATGCTAATTCCTGTTTGTCAGCCTCTCTGATTTGTGTTTGGACGGCTGACTGCGCGCGTGACGGCTAAACAACGAGGGCTTATGCATGGAGGCGTAGAGTAAAATCACCAAGGTTGGAGGATTCCCAAGGAAATAAGTGACCAATTTTTGTCAAAAGGTTTAAGCACTGTGTTGAATCTCAATTGGGGAGCTGGATGTCCCATCGATGTCAGAGACAGCTGGTCCACGGGGGTCAACTGTCACAGCCGTGTGTGTGTGTGTGTGTGTGTGTGTGTGTGTGTGTGTGTGTGTGTGTGTGTGTGTGTGTGTGTGTGTGTGTGTGTGTGTGTGTGTCACCAGTCAACTCGGCTGCGTCTCTCACACTGCTTTGCAAATGTAGATGTACAAAAGTAGTTTCTGTATGTCAGGCTTTGTGTACACACAGAAGAGCGGTGTGTTCGTAGCCTTTACTAATCGTACATCATCTCTGGTCGTATCCTGTTAGGCTGTTTGTTTTAATCCCACAGAGGTACTGAGGAACAGCAAATATTTGCTGTTGTAAAACGTTTTTACGACATTTTTTAGAAAAAGAGCTCATGTGGCAAGCTGTATGACCAACCTCGTATAGGAAATGACTAATATATTTCCAAAGAAAAGCGGCTGATTCTCAAAAGCTCAAACCAGATATTTCATTTCATTGAAACTGTTTTAAAAAATTGTCAAAAACACTGCGCCAATTTCATCTCATCTTTTAAACCGTTGCAGCAGATAATAAATGCTGCTCCCCAAACTGTCAACCTGTGTGTGTGTGTGTGTGTGTGTGTGTGTGTATGTGTGTGTATATAATATATATATATATATATATATAAAGGAGTGAAAGGAGCAGCCTATCGGGTCATTTGTCCGCATTGGCTTCTTGGGAGTGCTTAATATCTGCTTAACCTGCGTCTCTCCACATTCTCCAGCTATTGTTTGGATGAGACGCGCAGGGTGTGGCCTTTTCAAACTGGTTTTGAATGAGGCTCATCGTGGAGAAAAGATCCTCTTCATTGGTTTGAAGAGACATGTTACATGGCAGTGAAAAGGATGAAAAGTCTTCTTTTGTGTTGGTTGTACAATGTTTAGATGTGGTATTATAATGTTGCAGAGTAATTGTGATCGAAAGATTCCCAAGAGTACTCTCTGTAGTTGGTGAACAATGTTTCTTTAGTTATTAATCATGTGCATCTGATTGTTGTGTACTGTAGAGGGATCGCTCCTTAGTCAAACTTTACACACACTGTTGTGTAAAGTTTGAAAAGATAATCTAGTCCTGACATTCACCTTCTGCTTGTCTCTTAGCTTGAGATGACACACAGCGTTTATAGTGCCGCTCTGAGCTACAAACGAGAATCAGGGCCGAACCTTTTCGCCTTTCACTCCAGAGTTACAGTAAATGACTAGATGGTTTCTCATTAGTTATCCCCCATAGAGTTGAGTTGAATACGGTGCTTAATGCTTGCTGACCTGTGACAGAGCAGTACGATAATGATTGAATTTCATTGTGTTCACAGCTTAGTCTTGTTCTTCATGTCAAGCAAAATGGGTCAGACGTGCCCACTTGTGTTCTTCTGTGCGTCTCTGATGGCGGGTTTGCGTGCCTCGGTGTCCATGTATGTTGTCTCTTGGCTGTGTTGTCGGTAACCTTGGATTTTGTATCCTGGTGTTGAGTGCTCGTTCTTTTGGATGACAGCGCTGTGTGCGTGTTTGTGCGTGTGTGCGACTGAAACTAAACTCAAGACAAAATATTATTCCCTTCAATTAATGTTAAGTGATCACAAGTCAGTCGAACAAAGTGAGATTCTAGATTTCCACGTCGGGGCCGTTTCTAACGTCTCCCGCCGGCTGCGTCCACATGCAGATCTAATCGATGGCTACACGGGTGAACGAGCCGGATTGGAGGAGCAGTTGCGTCAGAAGGAAGAGCTCCAGCTGAGCCTCGAGCAAGAGCTGCAGGTGAGGCATTCCAGAGAGGAGGAACATAATTACCCTTCTCCGTGAGACGGAACATGGATCACAGGGTTCTAAGGCCAATTGCTATTATTTTGCCTTTGGTGCTGAACAGTAGACACCCAAGTACAAGCACAGTTATTTCAGGTTCAATTAGTTAAAATATTTGCCGAAAAAACTCAATGTGTACAAATATATATATATATATATATATTCACGCTGTGTGTTGATTTTCTAAAATGAGCGGCTAAAACAGCGCTCAAAAATGGAAACATTTATGGTGAACGTTGTTGGAGTAGAAAGCAGTGTCCGTGTCATTCATATTGCCACACATGATGGACCATTCAGTAGAAAAGCTCAATCTTGGTGTCGCCCCCTGAGCTCTGATGTAATCACAATCACAAGTACCCAGGCATGTCGCAAGCTGCCGCTTAAACAACATATTTATGAGACTTTTGTGCCGGTGAACTGAATGTCATTTCATGCAGGTGACCGGCAGCCGTCTACACGAGTTGGAGCAGGAGAGGCTTCAAATGCAAGACGAGCGGGATCTGCTGTCACGGCAACAAGACGCCATGAGGGAGCACGCCGGGCCCCGTGAGCTCCGTACGTTTCCCAGTGCTCTTTCACCTGAAATACATGCAGATTTTAGTTATCGACCTCAGGGAGTCGTCATTCTCAGGAAATGTATTTAATTTAGAAATTTATTATAACATGTTCTGAACATTTGAAGATAGGTTTGATTTTGTGAACGTACTAGCATTGTGCAAAGCATAGTGTCTTAAAAATAAGGAAACAAGAATATAAAATGCCACTTTTTTTGTTATGACTCCTGTTTCAAGTAAGTTTGTTTGATATTGTTAAGAAAGTAAAGTCATTCAACCTAAATGAAAACATCCGTTTGGCTTGAATGACGGGGCACAGCTTGATCTGTAGACGTTGAGTCAGCTGCATGTCACACAACAAATTATCACTGTTTAAGCCCCTCTTTTGTGAAAAGGGCCTACTGTCTGATTTCAATGGGTCACAAGCCTGACGTTGGTTTATTTAGCTGTTCTTCTGTCCTAATCGAACTGAAAACGCACACACATGAGCCATAACTTGGATGCATTGTCAGCAAAAATAATTGAGACCCTGGATAAAAAATCAAAATGTTTACACACGTTCTTCCAGTATTTGTGCCTCAGGTCATATTTAGAGGTATTCTAAGAGTACTTAGGGGTATTTAAGGGTACTCCATATACATGAAGTGGGATAACTGTATCTGCTAATTTGCATTATGACTCCTGTATTATGAAAAAGGTATCCCATCAGTACCTTCTCTGATAAAATGGTGAGTATTTTTGCAAGGGTATAAAACAAAGGGGTTATTTCCCAATAATGTCCTTTCACAGCATCCTTTCTACAACATTAACTTTCTGCTGTGACAAAGACACAAAAGCACTGCCTCCTCTGTCCTCACCCTTTGCTAATCTTTATCCCACCAGTTTTCCTGTTCATGAAAAAAAACAAAAACAAGAGCATGTTACATTCCTGTGCTTTCTTATTCTCCTGTAGGCCTAGTTGAAGCTGCAATGGTTGCAGCACCTGAAGCAGGTGTGTCCACTTTGAGCATGGCTCGGTCATAACTGCTGTATGTTCTCTCTGATTGTGCACTGTGTCTGAGTGGCAGTATAACCCTCCTTAACCCTAATCCAGCAACTCACCAACAAAGCTCGGAGCTCGCTTGCTATGAGCTCACAAACTCACTCAGTCCAACCACTAACTTTTGGCTTCAGCTTTTCATTTTGATTGATTTTTGTCCCGGTTTTGTAGTTTTTCAGTGTTATCACTCATTTTAGCATGATGAAATGAAAGTCATCTTAAGGAGAGTATACATAGTCATTATTCCCAAACTTTCAATTCTCTGCATTGAATTGAGGGACTTTCTCTCTCCATTGTGATGCATATCTTACAGCACCTCTTTGAGTGAGACAATTGGCCGTTCAGTCCCTCTCCTGCCTGTAACAGCTTATTGGGCATGGATATCGCTACGTCTGAGCTGTCCACGTGTGTGTTCTGTCATCTGCACTCTCATCTCTTTACTTTTGCACTAATCCTGGGTAAAGCGCTGTGGGTTGTTCACTGGTGGCGGCGGAAGGCCAAAGAGGCATCATGGAGGGGAACGCTGTTCGGTAACGGGGCGTCGGGAAATTGACTGAGATGTTAGAAGAGTCTGAAGGAAGCCATGTGGCCTGTAAAAGGGACCTTAAAATAGAAAAAAAAAAAAAAACATTTCAGAGAAAGACGTTGATAACTCTTATAACAACACGGCCCAAAATGCTAAAACCTCGTCTCGTTGCTCACACTTCAGACTCTTCAGGAGCTCCATCGCAGCATCTTGTTTGTCAAACCTGAAAGAATCATTGACTACAGTCATCCACCGTGAGGTGACAGGCCCGAGATGCCGATCTGACGTCCACCCTCCGTTGTATCCCTGTAGACCTCCTGGAGGAAACGGAGAAGCTGATGAAAGAGAAAGTGGATGTCCAGCGTCAGGCGGAGAAGGAGAATGCCGACCTCCTGAAGCAGGTGAAGCTGCTGGAGGCGGAGCTGGAGGAGCAGGTCAACAGGGTGATCGAGCTGGAGAACGCTCAGAGCACGGAGAGCGGAGACCTCCGTCAGCAGGTCCAGGCTCTGGAGAAGCAGCTGGACAAGAACCGGAGGTTCCTCGACGTGAGTGACAAGGACTTTGACTTTTACTCAATGATGTTTATGACCGTTTTACATTACGTTCCTATTTGGGTAGCCGTAAATCATGGATGAATTTCTTATAGGAGTTTTCATTGGAAATTAAGTAATTAGTTGATGACAGAAAAAAAGTTTGATTGAAAAACAATGTTAATCAGGAATACAATCCTTTGTGCTAAATTCATTCTTTTTTCTGAACTTCATTCCATTTTATTATCCCTCATTTGTAATGTACATAGTGACATGCCTCAAATTTTAAAACACTGTTTAAATGTGTTTTTGCAAATATAACAGATTTTAGTTTTATTCAACTTAATACATTAAATACATTTTCCATAACAAGGCAATTCAATCCTAAATTTATAAAATAGTTGCGCTGCCAGGGGGGACCCTACCCTCCTATTTGGCTCATGGTTTCATGAGTTTGTTCCCATCATCGTAATTGGGCCGCTTGGCCAGGAGTTGGCACGTAATTGTCTGGATGTTTGAGTGAAGATTCCCTCCATTGTCCCGATGAGGCTGTTTGCACAAACAAATATGAAAAGAGCAAATTTGTAAACGTAATCGCATTATTTTAACAATTCTTTATCATAGTCCTGTTTTCTGTGGTGTGCATTAATAAAATAAAACTGGATTTCATTTCTGTTTCCATTTTGACAAGTGTGTCTGTTTAGTTTGTAATAATTACCTTCATAATTGAGTCAATGACAAACATTTTCACTGATTACCTAAATCTGAGTTTAGGGTTAACAGAAATCAGTTGAGACTTTCTTTTTTATTCTTTCTATGGAATTTTATCCTCTGTTTTAAACATTTTAAAGTAACACAGCAGGCAGCGTTAAATGTTGCCCCATTCACCCATTCATCTACACTTGCGTGATGTCGCCTGAACAAAGACGACACCCATTCTGTGGGTCAGTGCTTACTGCAAATCTGCAAAGTCCAAGACACCTTTTACCTTCTCAACTTAAGCGGTGGGTCTTGCATCACTGCGTTATGATTTTTCAATCATCCCAATCTGCAGCAAATCTTTTTTTTTTTAAATGGTAAAACATATGGCCTGTATTGAAGAAGGGGTTCAAAAACCTTCAATACTCGTGTCTTCATTTTGGCGTGCAGGAGCAAGCCGTGGACCGAGAACACGAGAGGGACGTCTTCCAGCAGGAGATCCAGAAACTGGAAGAACAGCTGAGGAATCCTCAGAAGCTCCAGGCCGGCTCAGAGCAGAGGAACAAAGAGGTGAGCGCAGCGAAGGGCCAGGCGTTGATAGAGAGGCTTAGGCTGTGCACACAGAGCTGACGGTCACACCACAGAACAATGGCCTCAAAAAGGCTGAGTGGGATTAATGTTTGATCCTTTTTTTCTGTAATAGTGGGTCTTAGTAGCATGATCCTGAAATGCACAATACAGTGGGAGTGATGCATTAGCTAAAGTTAATCACTGTGACTGTGCTGCTGTACACAAACATAAGGCTGTGTCTCTGTACAACATATTTTCGCTCTCGTTATCCTCATCTCAAGCCGCTGTTATCTGCTTCCACTGCTGGTCATCTGGTCATCTCTGATTCCCACAGCTTCTGGCTTTCGGCCCTTTTTGGAATTGGCCTCGTCACATTTCCAGTTGTTTACAGTAATGAAAGTTTTTAAGTACTCACCAAATTGCAGTGTGACATTTATTTGTGTTCATCCCAGCAGTAAACGCTGTCAGTTTGAACTTTAATGTTTATTTGTTGTGTGTGCTGTTTTTACTCTTTAGCATCTCCAGGATTATTCATCATTAGCTGTCATTTTCCTTCACTCACAATCTGCCTCCGTTTCACTCGGGGCAAGGAGAAATCTACTTTTGATCAACACCGTTTACATACTATTGCAGACATCGCGCCCTGTTTAATGTGTATTATCAACACAATGTCCTCACAGTAACCCGCTGAATTCATTTCATTTGTCCTTCGCCAACGTAAAACATCATGAGCTGCAGCGGTTTCTGTGCCCTCTGAGCATTTTACTTTGTCAATCTGAAACATAATTTGACAAGTCAGTTATTCCATTAGGGGACTATGATTGTGCTTAGTGGGATCATAATGTTCCTTGTTCTTTCCTTAAGGTCATAGTAACTGACGTATACTCAATTCGCCCTGCTGCTCTTTAGCCTTTGAGCAAGTCTAACCATTTGTTTTCTCCCAAATGAATTAAATAATTTATGATTGCATCGTTGATTCATTTTTTACACGTTAGTGACAAAATCGGTTGTTTCTATTCCTTGAGTTTATATCATATCAGTTATACATCAATCTCACTTTAACCTCCCTCCCAAAGATAACTTCTCTGCGATTTCCAGAGGCTCCTTCCACATTTTTAGCACGCGGTGCTTTCTCTTCCCGCTTTTGCCCTTGAACTGTCCATCCTCTGATCCTCTGTGCCTTCTCTCTCCCGTGGCTATTACAGGTGGATGGAGTAACCTCTAAGGTATTGCTTCTAGCTACACGTAGAATCTCACCCAGAGAGCATCTAGTGCATTTTAGTACTCCCTCCCGACCCTGTCGACGTTACGCGGCCTGCCCATCTCGCTCATCCTTTCCCACCTCCTTTCTCCTGTTTGATCCCTGTCGAATGTGTCAGTCTTCATTAGAAAAAGCAACTTCTTAAACTTTCTTCCTCTCTCAGCTGCAAAAGTGGCGACGAGGGGCGATGTAAAAGCAACCTCGCTGAAGACGATAGCCTTTCAATTCAATTATACCCACTTTTTGCATACCTGACAAGGATGTAGTAAAATATCAAAGTACATTCTTACGTGAATATGCAAGTCACCAAACTAAAGTCTATAAAACAAACCATTTAAAGTAGTTTTTTTTACCTCATTGGACATCTGTTTTTCTTGGTTAACAACAAACAAAAATGTCTCCAGCTTAGTGTCAGGCAAGAAATTGCATTTAAAAAACCCTCTTGAGTTGACTCCGATCCATCAACAAATTTAAATATAATTAGACCTGAAGTAGACTCATGCAGAGGACCGTCCGACTCTCTAGTCTCAGTAACGGGCTGCTGGTGAAGGGCTGGATGCATTTCATCCCCCCTTGTTACAGGGTAGTTCTTTTTGTTTGAGCAACATGCATACAAATGCATTTCTGAAACAACGGGCTACATAAAGGTTAGTGTATGAAAGGACGCTATTTTCTTTTATCAGTGGAGCCATCTTGACATAGTTTTATTCCTCAATTCTGAGATAATCCTAAACAAATCTCCCTCTTGTGGACCCTTCTCCCTCCCCTTCATTGATTTGCTGCTGTTCCCACAGATGGATCAGTTACCTGCCAGCGGTCCTCCTGGCTAATGCACTGCTCTGTGGTTTGTGTCCCCCTGAATGAAATCGCTCTGTCCTGCACCTCTCTTCTGTCTCGGGCCCCCTCCTTTCTCTCAGGTGGATCAGCTGACCGCCCAGCTAGCTGTACATGCACCGGCTATGCTGTAGCGAGTGGTGTCTGAGGAGCATTCTCATTAAACACCCCCCCCCCCCCCCCTTGCCTCTCTCTCTCTCTCTCTTTCGCTCGCTCACGACCAGGTGGACCAGCTGACCTCGCAGCTGAAGGAGAAGGCGGATTGGTGCAGTGAGCTGCTGCTCAGCTCAGAGCAGCAGCGCCGTGAGGTGGGAGAGCGCGACGAAGAGATTGACAAGCTGGAGAGCCGCATCCGCGAGCTGGAGCAGGCCCTGCTGGCCAGCGCTGACTCCCTGGAGAAGGTAAGGAGGGGGAGGAGAGAGGGGGGGGGGGGACGAGAGAGGAAGCATGTGCGGGAGAGTCAGAGGGGTAAGCATCTCCAATAGCTGTGGAGAAAGGCAGAGGGGGTACGTGACAGGACGGAGATGGGGAGGAAAAGGAGGAGCGCTGGGATGCACAGAGAGATGGAGAACAATGTGTGGGTGGGTGTGCTTCACCCGCGCGGTAGTTTGTTGTTGGTTATGAGCTACGGCTAGCAACTGACAAGATTGCCATCCCCCGGTGTTCGTGAAGGGCTGTTGCGAGAGGGAAAAAAGGAGCAGTGAAGAAAATGCTCTGATATCTGCTCTGCCGCTGCACAGCTGACAAATGGCTCTGAGCTCCACTGCAGACTACAACTTTTGTGCTAAATACATTTTTTGTGTGTGTGTGTGTGTGTGTGTGTGTGTGTGTGTGTGTGTGTGTGTGTGTGTGTGTGTGTGTGTGTGTGTGTGTGTGTGTGTGTGGCTGGTTGATCAATAGAAGCAGCATGCATCCACCACAGAGGCCAAACACGCCACACTGGAGGCTCAATTGCAAACTGAGAGAGAAGCTTTGGAGCGGAAAGAGAAAGAGGTAGTGTGCTAATCGGGATAAATCTCTTGGATTGAAACATTTGTCTCTTTTCAGCAGTAGATATAAAGCATATATGAACAAGCCTCTTGCTTACATGTGCTACTGTTGTCTCCTTTAATATCTCCTCCTATTCTTTCTATTTACAGCACTAGTTGGACATTCGTAACCAACCAATAAAACATTTTGTCTGGTTTCTCTGAAATGCTTTCCATGTTCACCTGTCGTCTCATTATCTGTAACCTGGAAGAGCAGCTGGAGCAGTTCAGAGAGGAGCTGGAGAACAAGGGCGAGGAGGTGCAGCAGCTTCACATGCAGCTGGAGATCCAGAGGAAGGAGATCAGCAGCCAGCAGCAGTATCTAGAAACAAAGGATAGCATGCTTCAGGTAAAGCGCTGTTCCCCTGACACAAGTCTTTACAGTATTTTTACATAAAATTGTGAATTCTGGAGGTGGTTAAGTCTGTGTGCGAACTGCAGGCACTACTGGCTTCTTAAATGCCCATGGATGTGATTATTAGGCAGACGCTTGACTTGTAGTTGTAGTTATTTAGTTAACTTTGAAGTTTAGCTGCCAGTGATTTCAAGACCGTTGACCAATGTGTGACTTTGCCTTAAACTGCTTAATACAACACAAGTTCTTTATTCACACAAGTAAAAACTGCTCAGGTCAGTGAACGGGACCGTTTTTATGGGAGATTTTATTCTATGTTGTTCTGCCTTGCAAGACTGCCACTTGCATTGCGTTTCGTTTTTGACATCCACCACGATGGTGACTCTTGAGCGGACTTTGTTTATTGACAGCCATCACATTATAATCTCTGACTTTTGAAGGTGATGGAGGAGAAGGACAGGGAAATAGCCCTTCTTAATGAACAGATCACTAAGCTCCAACACACGGGAACCTCCTCTGATAACAAGGTAACGCAATATGCGTATGCGAAATGGAGCAATAGACTATTTCGAATACGCATAACTCGGTGTTGGTGTGTGTGTTTCCTGCATTCGTAGTCGCTTTTGTTTTGGTCTGCTCCATTTTTTTCTTTTCTTTGGGAGGTTGTTTTGCTTGTTTTGTCTCGGTAAGTAATTCCACAGTGCCATCGTCTTCTTTGTGAGGTGATCATTTTATCATGTGAGGTGGATTAATAAACCTCTGAGTCTCTAAAGAGATTTTATAATTGATCAAGTTCACACCTTTCAGATGCCAATAAAAAATTCCATTATCCTGGGGACCAAAGACCCTCCAAGGACCAAAGGGACTCAGAGGTTTATCCGAATAGTGGGACTTCTGTGGACTGATATCTTCTGACATTATTATGGTTTAAGAAAATCTGCCTATTTCTCTTTAGGAAATTGATGAAAGGGATGAGCTGATTAAAGACTTCGAGTCCCAGGTGGAGTGCCTGCGCAGTGAACAAGAGCGGTTGAAGAGGAATAGTGAGGAGGAGCTTGACCAACTGAATGCAGTCATCGACAGACTTCAGCAGGAGCTGGCCAATATCGAGCAAAAGCCGGCCGCGGAGGAGGACGAGGACGCCAAGGAAGAGAGCGCCGTAGGGGCGCCGAGTAAAGAGGAATACGATGAAATGAAGCAGAGAATGGACATGGCCACCGGAGAGATCAATACTCTCAAGACGAAGCACACCGCACTGTTGGAGACATACCTGCGCCTGAAGGAGAGCGCCGAAGCTTTAGCTGAAACGGAGAGCGCCGAGAGCGAACTTGAAGATGCCCTCAGGGAGAAAACTGCAGGCCTGGTGGTCATGCAGGCCCAAGTTCAAGCCTTAGAGCAGAGTGCAACGTCCAAAGTGGAGGAGTTGGACCTGCGCATCCGGCAGCTCGAGGTCGAGGTGGGTGAAAAGGACAGCGAGTTGAGCCGCTGTCTCCTCCTCCTGGAGCAGACACGAAGCCATGCAGCTGATCTCCAACAGAGGGTCTCTAATCTGGAGGAAAATCTGCGGGAGAACCTGGATGCAGCGCTCGTCAACCAGGCCCCGCCGGAGGCCTTCCAGCAACAGCAGTCCAAAGAGTCCGAAGGAAACCAGGACCTGCAGAGCCGCGCTGAGCCCGATGTGCAGTCGGATATCTTTGACTTTGGTATTCCCCAGATGGATTTCAGTGGAATTGGTCAAACGAGACAAGCTCCCAAAGGGAAGGTGGTCCATCTGACCCAGAGGCTTCGGGAGCTGGAGGTGGGACTCAGCGGGATTCAGAAAGATCAGGAGCTCCAGAAGCAGCTGCTCTCCAGCTCGGAGGAGGAGGTGCTGGAGTACGAGAGGAGGCTGTCCGTGCTCATGGATCTGCTCGGTCAGATGAAGGCCGGGCCTCCCCAGAAGACTCCCCCGACTGTGGGGGTAAGAGTGTGGCCAATTACTCATATGTGTAGTTCCATATTTTGATTGTGGTCTAGAAGTGTTTCCCGTCTTTATGCTGTGCTAAAAAAAGTGGATACGTCTTCATATAAAGAACCTGAGTGTTATTCTCTGTATGTACAAACCTTTCCTACAGAAGTTCTCCTTTAAAGGGGCCATATTATGAAAATTCCACTTTTTTAGTGCTTCCATACGTTAATTTGGGTATCTGGCATGTCTCCCAACACAAAAACGCTGGAAAAAAACAGCTCACGCGGCTTGTTGTGGTGTGGTGTTGTGGTGTCGGAAACGATATGCTTGAGTGCGTCAAATGGGATCACCACCAACGTCTACGTAGATTTGGAAGCACGCCCATGTAGGGAGTCTGCCTACATGGCCTTGGACCGCCCCCCACCAACACTCCACCCACCCAGTTTAAAGACGTAATGGCTAGCTGGGCAGGCAGCAGCTAGGCGAGCGCATCTCGTGGAGGAGGGGGAGGGGGGAGGAGGGGGGGGGGGGGGAAAAAGCTGGCTCATTAGCATTTAAAAGAACAGGCACTCAAATTATTTTTAGAAAATTAGATCCCATTGACAACTCTCACCAACATTTTCACTGAATTCAAATTCCACATTGGCCAATTAAAACTTAATAGACTTGCTTAAAATGGCAGAAAAAAATACATTTTCAAAAATTGGAGCATGTTCTTAATTTCTTCATCCTGAATGACAAACCGATGCTGTCATTGTACTCAAATCTCAGGCTTTACCAAGTTGTCCCTTGTCCAATGCAGCTGTCATAATCTTGCTAACTTTTTTTTCAGGCGCCTCCTGCTGCTGAGCCGCCGGCTGCTACGTCGGAGCTTCTTCAGGAGTTGCAGGAGGTCAAAGATGAAGTTTCGGCCACCAAAGAGCAGCTCGACTGCTACAAACAGAGCTGCAGCAAACTACAGGAGGAGCTCCAAGTGTGTGACTGCCTCTTCATGTTCAGACATTGCAGAGTATTTCTGATGTTTGGTGAGACTGACGGACGCTTGCTTTTGTTGCAGGAGAAAACCGCTACAATGGAGCGACTAAAGGGACAACTTCAAAAGGTAGGAACAAAGATGTGAGACTTGAGTTTAACTTTTGTCTAAATAAAGTCTTGTCTGATATTTAAAATTGACTTGGCTTTAGGTATCATCTGGTGCCTGTGAGGAGAGCAAAGTTTCTGAGCTTCAACAGGAGTTGAAGGAGGCTCAAAATGAGGCCGCTTGCACCAAAGAGGAGCTGAACAGCTGCAAGGAGAGCCTGGAGAAGCTACAGGAGCTCCTGCAGGTTGGACATTCCTATCCTCTCAAGAATAAGAGAATTAAAATGAATGTTTTCAATTTTCATAATTGACATTTAAGTAACATTTGGGCATTTTTAGAAATGGGAGTATGTCTTGAAAGTTAGATCTCATGCGTACTGTGAATAGTACCAGCAGCCATTAGCGTAGCTTAGCATGAAGGAAATAATGTAAGGGCATATCGGCTCCATCCAAAGTTAACAAATCCATCTTCAAACAGAGTTCACTCAGTAACCAAACATGCTGTAGCTTCACATGTAACGGAATGATAATGATATTGTTCTCTGAGAAGGAATAACTGTGTTGCCCTAAAATGTTGAACTGTTCTCTCAGTGCATCAACTCGTTTCATTTTAATGAAATACAACTGTGTTTGTTAAGGAGCGGGAGATTACCATCTCTCGCCTTAAAGGAGAACATGTTCAAGTAAGCAAATAAACAAACTTATTTTCCTTTCTTTTCTTTTTTATGAAAAAGTAAGCAATATTTTCCTCTATGTGTATTATTTGACCGACTGCTCAATTTTCCTCAAGATACAAGCAGATGAAAGCAGAACCAACATGGCCGAGCTTCTCCAGGAGGCGGCTTCCACCAAAGAGGAGCTCAACACCTACAAGCAGCATAACAAGAAACTTCTGGAAGACCTCCAATTCCGTGATGTCTCCATTTCTAAACTCAAAGAGGAGCTCCAGGAGATGAGAGGGAATGTAGATACCACCAAACATGAGCTCCAGCTCTTCAGGCAGCACAATGAGAAACTCCAGAGTGAACTACACGACCGTGAGCTCTCCATCACTAAGCTCGGAGAGGAGCTCCAGGAGGTACGAGCAGCCTCGACGAAGACTGCGGATTCTTGTCCTCCGTCTTCCTCTCCCTCTCCCGCTCCCTCTCCCTCTCCTCAGCCGGTCCCGTCTGCTTCCTCCTCCTCCGCCACGCAGCCTAAAAGGAAAGGAGGGAAACAGCCGGCTGGCAAAGGGATCGGCGCCAAAGATAAACCGTCTGTCTCCAAGAAGAACTCTGCCCCTTCCCTGCCGTCCTCAAGCAAATCCCACAGCTCTCGACTAAACAGCAGCTCCACGCAGCAGCACGTGACACACTCGTTCGCGCAGACGGAACCGCTCCAAATGTCCGACCTGGACCCGGAGAGCGAGAGCGCAAACAGAGACGAGATCGAGGAGGTGATCGGAGAGTTCGAGGAGAAGATTGTACAAATGCAGGAGCTTCACGCGGCGGAAATCCTGGACATGGAGGCTCGGCACATCTCAGAGAGCGAGAGCCTCCGGAGGGACACACAGGCTCTGGAGGACGAGTGCAAGGCCCTCAAAGCGGTCATCGACAAGCTGCGCTCCACGCAGGTGAGGGCAGGCAAGGACAGCTGTGTTAAAACTACTGGTTATTTTCATTTCTATTGATCCTTTGGTTTATTAAATGTCTGATAAAAATAAATCGAAATTAGTTAGTCAAGTTCCCAATTTTTTTTCAACCAATAAAACTAAAAAAACAAAAGATATACGATGTCTTAAGATGTAAAATAATGAAAAGTACCTGAGACCAAGAGATATTTAGCACTTGATCAGTGACATAAAGATAAAACCATCATCCAAATATGCGATAATTTATTCATTTTATGCACATTTAAGAATTTAACAGAAGTTCAATGTTTTGAAGGGGTTTCATACTAGGGACACGTACTTGTGTTGTATTATCATTTTCAGTGATACAGTGAGGGAATGATCTGAATCATGTTTAATCTTTTGTAGCCCCCTTCATCAAGACAAGACCGTCCTACATCACTGTTCAAGGATGGCTACACAAGTGGTAAGAAACAACTCACTGTCCCCTCAAATGTCTACTGACAGTGATTAAATGTTTGGTCCTCCAGTATTCTCCTCGTATTTTTAACAGCGTTGTCCCGAGCGAGTCCGTGTCAATTTCCACTGCGTGACATGGTTTGTCACGGAGGCTAGGATTCATTTCACACGTCTCTATTGGCGTTGTTAACACCAAAAAACCTTTTTGCTCTTGCAGACAGCAGCTCAGACTACAGCCAGCGGACCGGGTTTGACTTCCCCAGCTTGCAGCAGGAGTTCCGGTCGACTCCAGAGGGCGCCAGGAGAGAGACGGACGATCCGCTGCCCGACTGCATCAAGGTACGACTTCCCCCACTAGAGCTCATCAATACGTGGTTCTACAGAATTAGGATTCTCATTTTAATCATTATAGCGATGGAAGGAACTAGAAAACAAGGCTGGTAAATGCGACCACATGTTTGTGTATTCAGACCTTGCTGCGGGAGGTGCACCAGGAGGGCATGCAGGTGCTCTCTCTGTCCGAGCTCCCGCTCGCTGAGGGCGAGTCGGGCAGCCAGTTCGACGCCCCGGGCTGGCTGAAGGAAAGAGACGCCCTGCTGGCCACTGTGGAGTCTCTCAAAGGCCTCATCACCCAAATGCAGACACACAGAGAAACACAGGTAGAGGAGCCCCCTCCCCTCCCCGGTAGTATCCACAAAACGCTGCCCATGTGTGTGTCTTTACCTGTGCGTCTTCGACTTGCCGCAGACGTCTGGCGGCGTGGACTGGCGTGCGGAGCTGCTGGATGCAGTGCGGCAGGTGTTCACGAGGGAGCGGAGCGTGCTGAAGAGCGCCCTCTACAGCCAGTTGGACCTGCTGGACATCAGCGACGCCATCGTCCACCTCAACCAGCTGGAGCGCCGACTGGCTGAACAGGTACGACAGATCTGATATGGCCGGAATACACTCAACATCTTATTCATTGATTACTGTTAATGATGAAGCTTTCATTAAAACATCAACACCTCGGTGATTTTCTTTAGTCCAAGTGTGTAAGTAAAGATTATTTTGTATAGTACTTTTCAAAATAATGATGTAAAAGCATTAAACATCAAACAAGCAGGAAAGTAACAACAAATCAATCAGACATAATTCAAATCAAATCCTGCTCAATGTCTGGCTTCTACAAAACGGAAGACAAATACTAACATATTACTGGATTGATTATGATTGATTATGATTTGTGTTGTTTTGTGTCAGTAACTCATCTTTTGTGACCCTGATCCAGGACACCCAGCACAGGGAGGCGATCGGGTCGCTCCACACTGCGGACCGCTCCAGTCTCATCTCTGAGATTCATCAGCTCCGAGGTCAACTGGAGCGACTTCATCAAGGTTAACCTCTTTTTAAAAACTCTACTGATGAAGATTTTTCTCGCTAGATCCTGATGTAGGATGTTTTCTGATTTTTGTCCTTCAGCTGCTCTCCCTGTTGCGTCAGCGAGTCGTGAACGTAGCGTGAAGAAGCAGGGAGGAGGAGCTGATGGAGCAGCGGAGGCCGACATGCTGCTAGTGGAGGGGCTGAAGAGTGAACTGTCCCAGACTCGACTGGAGCTGGAGACGACGCTCACGGCTCAGCACAAACACCTCAAAGAGCTTGACACACTCAGGTTAGACATTTTGTACAGACGTGAGGCCAATGCACCTGCATTGGCGATTCGGAATGTCTTCCTCCAATGTAACCTGCTTAATTTGAAGAAAGTATCCAACACAGCTCCGCTCCATTATGTCTCTGTCAACAGGGCAGAAGCATCTCAGAAGGCTGCTGAGGTGGACGCACTGAACGACCGGCTGACTGAAGAGAGGAAGAAGAGCAGAGATCTTCAGTGGGCAATGGAGAAGGAGAGATGTCGAACTGGGAACGACGAAGAGAGTAAACGAGAAGAACTGGAGGTGAGAGTCTTTACGCAGATATTCCTGTGCCGCATTAGATGTGTTACCTTTTTTCCTCCCTATGCAACAATGTTTATATGTTGACCTCCATGAAATAGACAAAACAAATAAACCGGTGAGTTCCTTTTTTTTTCTGCGCTCAACATATTATTCAGGTCATTCTAAAAACAAGTGTTTCCTCCTCAGGACCTTAACTTCAGCCTGGAGGAGCAGAAGAGCCACGTGGCCCAGCTGACCCTAACCCTGGAACAGGAGCGCCAGGTCTCGTCTCGGCTCTCCCGGCAGGCCGAGCAGGAGCGCCTCAGCCTCCACAGTCGCCTCAAGGAGTTCCAGGTCCAGCTGGAGACGGAGCGCGCCAAGGCCCTGGAGATGGGCAGCGCGCTGGGGAGGGAGCGGGAGCTGCGGACGGGCGCGTCCTCAGACGGCGGCCCGTCCAGTGAGCAGCGGGTTGATGAGGACAGGAGGGAGCTAGACAAGGAAGAGAGTCTGCTGGCAAGACTACAGAGGCAGCTGGATGACAAACATGCACAGGTGGGATGTTTTCTTTTTAAAGAATTTGCTCCAAATGGCCACAAAAGATTGCAGGAAAAAAGATGTAAATGATGACTCTTGCGAATTGCTGTCAACTCCAGGTGGTGCACCTTCTCGGTCAAGTGGAGGCTCAGAAGCTCGAGGTGGTCAGGAAAGAGGAGGAGCTGACTCTGGGGAGTCAGAGGTCGACACAGGACCAGGAGGCGCTGCTGGAGGCTCGGGCCAAGCTGGAGAGGCTGGTGGCACAAATGTCTGAGGTCCAGGAGCAGCTGGAGAGAGAGACAGGGAGGAGGAAGCGTCTAGAAGGAGAGAAGGAGAGACTGGAGGAGAGGTTGAACCAGTTGGCGGAGCAGAAAGAAGGAGGGGAGGTGAGCGCAGACCTGCAGGCCTATGGCCACAGTGTTGAACTTTCTCTTAATAAATAAGTATTTATTTAATAATGCTTTGATTCAGCCATTGTTTTTGAACCCAAGCAGGCCGCCGTGCACAGCGAGCCCACCAGCCGCACCGAAGACTGGGTGTTTCAGCAGAAGAGTGGAAATGTCCAGTCAGCAAGCTCCACCACCTCACCTCAGCTGGAGGCCTCTCCAACAGGTCGCACCAGCGGCCCCCAGCACGGCCCGCAGCACGGCCCTCAGCACGGCCCTTGGCGCACGGTCGACAAGATCCTGGATAAACTCCACCTCGTTTCCGCCAAGATCTGCGGCATGGCCAACGAGAACACGGGGAGGTAATTTCTGTTTTTAACACCATATCAGCTGTTAGAGGTGATGATGTCAACCGCTTGTTCTGCTGCACCCAAGAGGTCCAAAAAGTGTTGACTGCATTAATACAGTCGTTATGGATGTAATACTTCTGCTGTAAAATAAGTGGACCATAAAAGGCAGGACTTCTCTAATACAGCATTGTACAATTTACTAAATTTTTTTTGGTGTGTGTGTGTGCGCGCGTGTGTGTGTGTGTGTGTGCAGGCTGACTGCAGAGGTCGACAGTGAAGAGTTATCGTGGTTGCAGTCCAAAGTGAACGAGGTCATCACCATGCTGCAGCAATCCCCAGTTCTACCCTCCGTCCCCGAGGTCAGGAACCTATATTTATATTATTATAATTGTATAACTACTAATGTTATTTTCAATACTTGAGGATTTAGCGGATTCAGGTTCATGATCAACAGAAGTATAATGTTAAAGAGAATCCCCACTTTGCCGATGACCTTGTTTTGTCCCAGCGAGCGCAGCCTGACGACACGCACGTGGTTGTGACCGCTTCGTTGTTTCCCAGCAGAGTGTTTCCCTGCTGCCGGGCGGCTCCTCCACCAGCTCCTCCAACACCCTGACGGAGCGGCTGCTGAGGCAGAACGCCGAGCTGACCGGATTCGTCAGCCGTCTCACCGAAGAGAAGAACGACCTGAGGAACCACACGCTGCGCTTGGAGGAGGAGCTCCGGCGCTACCGGCACGCTGGACCCGGCTCAGCCGACCGCGTGAGTGCACGGCAGGAAATACTGCTGATTGAGATGAAAGATTCGAAACATCTAAAATCATCATCAACAGCTTCAGTTGAGGGAAGCTTGATTGTGATTTAGTTTGGTTTGGTCCTGCAGTTCAGCACCAGGAGAGGAGTGTCGAAGGCGGACTCGTCGGGTTTGGTACTTTCCGAGGAGCGGGAGGCTTGGACGAGAGAGAAGGTCCGTCTGGAGAAAGCTCTTCTTCTGGCCCAGGCACAGGTGGCCCGGCTCCGAGGGGAGATCAGGGCCGACAACCTGCGGGAGATGACGGGACCCGAGGCCGACAACGCTGCACTGAAGGTCAGCTCAAAAGCTGCTAATTAGTCTCTGTAATTCAGCCGCAGCCTTCTGAGCTGCTTCTTTAGCCGCAGACTTCATCTAGTCGTAGCAACTCCCACAGAGATGGTGATCGCGTCCTTTTACTTTCTACCGGCCCTTCAGAGGATGTACGGGAAGTACCTTCGGGCGGAAAGCTTCCGCAAAGCTCTGATCTACCAGAAGAAGTATTTGCTGTTGCTGCTGGGCGGCTTCCAGGAGTGCGAGGAAGCCACGCTGTCGCTCCTCACCAGGATGGCAGGCCGGCCCGCGCTCCCCGTCGGGGAGGAGTCCCCCATCCAGCGCCGCCGGGGGCTGACGCGCTTCCGCTCTGCCGTCCGGGTCTCCATCGCCATCTCCAGGTAGGCAGCACGTTGAACGTGGCTATTGAGCGCAGCTGGGCCAGTAGAAGCTCGTCCTGACTTTTCTGTCACACTCATGCATCAGATGACGTTTAAGATTTCCACGTTAACAGCTAAAAGTAAAAGCTGCACATGTTCTGCTCAGAATGCGTTTCCTGGTGAAGCGGTGGCACAAAGCGACGGGGATGAGCTCCTCAACCTCCTGTGGCGTTAACAAGAACGGAGCAGGAGAGATTTCAGGTAAGCAAGACACGTCAGGCTTTACTTCTGCGCGGGAGAATGTGTCGGTTAGAAGTGATGCTCCATGCATTTTTATCTCCACACTCAGAGGTGAGAGGCTCGCCGTATCTTCACCCGGGCAGCGTGGACACGTACAGAGAACGTGGAAGTGGAGGAGGAGTCTCGACCGGCAGGGGGAGAAGTGGACGTGAATCCCCCAGATCGGCCGTCTCCTCCACACAACACAGGTGCAACTGACAACAACTGTTAACAACAACTGTTATCCATTAACTTTAGAATCCATTCAATTAGTCAATGAATTGGGAGAAATAACGGTCCAAGTTGCATACTTTTTTAAACCGTTTGCATTCCTGAAGTGAAGGAAATATACAAATTCTATTAATGGAATGAAGTGACGTATCTGGAGATGTTTTTTTTCCCCAGTTTCTTTATTGACAGAAGAAATGTAAACATCGACAGCTATTTTTTTTTTTCTTGAACATAATAACTAAATGTGTTTAATGTGTTGCGTAGGTTTCACACGGCCGGAGACCACGGAGCTCTCACCTGTTCCCACCTGCAGAGCTACGACCCCGACCGCGCGCTCACCGACTACATCTCCAGGCTGGAGGCGCTGCAGAGGAGGCTGGGCGGGGTGACGTCAGGTAGACCTTTCTGCAGTTAGTGAACCTTCATAAGTGACGGTTATACACTAAAGGTAAAGCCTGTGACATTTAAGCGCTGTCCACACCAAGGCAGCGTTTACATTGACCCTCATTAAGCTGAATAAACAGCCGCATTTTAAGACACAAGCGCACACATTGTTTGGCATTATATCATGTGTGTGGATTATTCAGTTACTGTGCTGTATATCAATAGTTGCAGTTGTTTTATTTCTAAAAAGTAATCTCAAATTGGCCTGTTCTTCTCTCTGCAGGTGCTTCTTCGTATGCTCAATTGCACTTTGGCTTGAGGAGATAGACGCCGTCATGTTACTTTGGCTTGAAGAAACTCAGTTGCCTTTTCTCGTGCTGAGCGCTCTGCTGTTTTCTATCATTCTGGTGTGGACTGTATCTCTCCATGTGGACCAAAACACATTTTTATATTAGTGTACGACATGTTGTATTCAGGCTTTTTGTCGCCAGCACTTGAAAAACAGCAATGTATGTAAAGGAATCTGCCTCGTTGTTGTGGATGAACTGCAATCTATGTTGTCTAATGCTAATTTAAGACCTGGTGATTAATTTATATGTTTGTGTGTGTGGGTGGAGCGTTATGTAAAGAATGTTTGGGTTTATTGTTAAGGAGGCTGCTGCTGGATATTCTACACTACACTGTGTTTGGTTTAGGCCTGACGGACTACGGAGAACATTTGTAGAGAACGTATTTTTATAAAGCGTAGGAGCTTTAAACTTTTGGGGTATTTTGTCAAAAACTGAAATAAAGAGGACTACATTATGAAAGAGTTGTGTATTTTTTTTGATGACAAGTGTTTTTGTACCAAAACCTAGGTATTCATTCAATTTGGCACCACGTGTTGATGATTTTTCCACGTTTCTTTATTGAAAGAAGAAATTAAAAGGCAAACAATTTTTTTTTTTACTTGAACACAATAACAAACAAAAAAAATCACAAATAGCTAAACAATCCACAATGTCATGAGCACAACATTTTCTTTGAGGAAAAGACATTTTACAGAGTTTGATTCAAGTCCAATAAAGAAAGCTTGTGCAGTTTAACTCGTCCTCGTTAAATCTATTCTAACATTTCAGACATTCTTAAAAAGGAAAATGATCTGATTACACAACAGTTACATCAGACTCTGTGCACTGGAGGCTTACAGCTGTTTAAAAAAAGTTTATTAGGGTTTTTTCATGTTTAATGCAATAAAGGCCACAATGCATCGTCTTAAGAGAAAGACAAGGTTCACTGGATAACTGCTGCAAAAAAACTCATACTTCACCCTAAAATTACCTTGAATATGGGCTGAATTAAGACGCTGTCATCAACTGAATAACACTTGCCATGTCAGCAAGGCGTCATTCACGGATGTTTCTCCTCCACCAAGGGACCACTCACCATTATTCACATTGTGAATACCAGCAAGCGTGTTCTTGTCAGAGTAATTATCTCTGGAGGTCCGAAAGAAGCGCAAAAACAAAAAACGATTGGGCATTTGAGCGGCGTAAAGTGTGTTCATCTAAATGTCCCTGGACTCAAGTCCCAAGAAGTCAGAGTTTCGGTTCAAACTCGACGGCCGTTGGACTGTTTCCTCGTGTCTTTGCTCCTCACGGTTTTCTCCTCTCGTACCGGATGACGGGGTTGTGCGGCGTGTGGATCATTGTGGTGTAGTTTATTGTGGGGAAATATCCGTCCACCAGGTCGAAGTGGTACATGCGCAGTAAAGTGGACCAGATGGTTTTAATCTGGACGTAAGCAAAGTTCTCCCCGATGCAGCGATGGCGACCTGAAGAGCAGAGTTTGTTAAAAGCGCATTCATTTAAAAAATGTCAGTCTCCTTGATTAAGATACACAATGGACCCCATTTCTCACCGGCTCCAAATGGCACATATGCAAATTTCTCCCCGGCAGCGGGGTTGTCGTTGAGGTAGCGGTCGGGGCTGAACTCCATCCTCTCCGCCCAGGTGTCCTGCAGGCGGTGGTTGACGGTGGGGGAGACGCAGACCTGGTGGCCCACAGGGATGGTGTATCCTGCCGCGGTCTGACACAAAGACAAGCATACTGAGTGCTGAGGAACGGAGCATTCAAATGAATAGCTTTATTTCTTGCTGACGTTAAATACTTTAAGGGGGGGGCGGCAGCAGCGGGTGCTCTTACCTGTGGAGTGCGAGCCATCCTCATCATGGTCATGATTGGCGGGCGGAGACGCAGGGTCTCCTTTAAACAGCGCTCCAACAAGCTGAGATCTTTCAGCTGAGGACGACACCAAGACAGTGTAAGGATCACCAGACTGTCCATTAGTTTGTTACAGCAGAACAATCGAAACTTATCTGTAATTGTCAACATGTACTATGTTACTGATCATAATCTGTGACTTTTGATACATTTCCTTTAAGAGAATAGGAATACTATCAATGTAACTGCAGATGCCTGTAAAGTACATCACACAGACGTTAGTCTATAAAGTTATAGCAACACAATTGTTGATCATTTGATGTGAGCCCTCTGGCCAACACAACCACACTGTGAAGTCGGCCGTGCCTGATCGAAGTCGAGTTGCAGCCCGTCGCCGCACACGGCCCTCTGCTCGGCGTAGCAGCGCTCCTGCAGAGCTTTGTCTCTGGCCAGGAAGAAACCCATCCAGGCGCTGGTGGTGGAGGACGTGTGCTGACCCGCCAGCAGGAGACCGATCAGCATCCCCGCGATCTCGTTATCGTTCAGCGGTCGTCCGTCTCTGGGGAACGTACCAGGTCATTTCTCAGAACTGATGGCGGTTTAAAAAGGGCTGCAATCACGTTGTGAATATTTTAGGATAGAGCATTTTATAAACAGCTATTCTGATGGACGTTTTAGTGAAAGACATTGAATACTGGGATATGAAATATAAACAGTGCCCCATAATCACATCATTAGTTTATTACTGCTATTTAGAACTGTTTTAAAACAGTTTCTGATGATGTTTGATCTGTGTGACGCTGTGATTGTATGAATTTCCCCGCTGCGGAACTAATTAAGGATTATCGATCATCATCGGGACGCAATGTGGTTTACAAGATCAGAAAGAATAATCCTTCAGTTACCTATTGTATTATATTGTGTACAATAAATTAAAAATATATATATATATTCTACCATCCACAAAAAGAGTCGCGCGTCTTACAAAGTCTCGCTCACGCCTGACATGTTCGCCCTCGGACACCATCTTACTTGTAGGTGGCATCGATGAGCGTCTGCAGGATGTCGTCCACTTTCTCTCCAGATCGTCTGCGCTTCTGAATCACATCGAAGAAGATGTTCTTGATCTCTACGTGAGCTCTGTCCCTTTTCCTAACCAAAGAGAAAAAAAGAAATAGTAGTATTGTATGTGGACGTTTGGACGGTTCTCTTGTGCCGTTGCTCTGGTTTCTTTGTACCTGAAGCTGGGCAGCGGCAGCCAGCCGGGCAGCAGCCAGGCGGCGTGGCTGAATCCTCCGTCCAGGTCGGCGTAGAGCTGAGCCACTCGCTCATTCAGCATGCCGCGGATCTCCTTGCCGTGGAGGCAGCTGCTTGCCGTCAGGATGATCAGCTCAGACAAGGCCTCAAACAGGTCTGAAAACGGGAAAAAGGGGAATTCAGTCACAACCACAAACAAGCTGCAGCAGTTAGACAGACAAACTGTGTGGGATTTCTTATTAAATATCATTTTTTACAGGTAATGTGTTTAGGTTGTTCGACTGTATACTTGATGCAAGTCTGCACAGCTCATAACTTGAAAGTTTATAAATCCCACAGGACATCGGGTTAAAGAGATAAAGAAAAGCTGGAAGTAGTCTGATTAAAAGTGAACCAAGTCACTGGTTCATTTTGTAATATTCATGTTTTAATCAAGTTAACTGTCGAGGATATTACTTCTCTCGCCGCTGTCTCCCCATCTCTGAAAATACTCAATGGTCTCCGCCTCGATGATTTTCACATGTTCCTTGAAATGAGCAATATTCAGTCCGGTTTTCAACATCTTCTTTTGCTCCAGAAAGAGCTGCAAACACATTGAAGAAAACAAGCCTCTTAGCATTCATTACCTTGATGGGATCTTATTTACTTTGCTGATTCTCTTTTAAATGTGATAAATAAATGTGATTTGACTCACGGGGTTCGGCACATCGTAAGCTACTCCTTTGCCAAACACCGGCGTGGTGAGTCTGGAGTAGACGTCCTCTGCATTCAGGTCCTCGTTCTTGCTGTTGAACATAAGCGTGGCGGCTTCGCTGCCCAGCAGGTAGGTGAACGTACTCCCCACCATGGTGAAACTGAATACAGGGCCGTACTGGGGGTGACAGACGGCAGAGACGCAGGGGGGTCAAAGCAGTGCTGGAGGGGTCAATATTAATCTGAGAGGTTTTAGATTTTTTTTTTTTAAATGTAAAGAAATGGAATTTGATCTTATTTTATATGCTGCTCATAAACTGCGTGCATGCAACAGGTGCCACCAGTAGACTTTGCGTTGTCTGTAGTGCAGGTGTGTAGGACTGCCAGGTAAAGTCAGATAGAGACAACCTTTCTTTTATTTGCTTAAGCCTGAAACTAAGGCTTAATATTCATTGCCAATTAACCCGTTTAGTATTTTCAAATGGCTTCTTGTGACTAAAAGTCTGCAGTCCATATACATTTACGTTGATATACTTTCAGTCATTCTTTACTTACTTTTTCATAAGCCTGTTCAAGAAACTCAATGGGGCTTCTGCCGAATGCGATGGCGTGACCCAGGAAGGGGATGCTGGAGGGGATGTATGGTGGGTATTTCTGCAAAAAAAAAGAAGAAAAAAAAAAAAAAGAGTACGATGTATGACCCCAAGCAATTTAATAAACACAATTCTTAGGCACTTTAACGTTTCTCTAACTCACCAGGTCGTTGTCGGCGGACGGCTGTTTGAGCAGCACCTTGGAGACGTAACCCAGCGTGAGCGTGATGACGGAGGCCGCCAGCACCACGGACGTCAGGTTGTCGCTCATCTTACCGACGGTGTCGCCGAGCAGCTTACTGCTCATTTCATAGAAGTGGAAAGACATCTTTAACTTTCTCCGCTGGATCTCAGGAGTCCCACTAGAGTCCTCGGCCGATCCCGTTCATCTGGTGTCACTGCCGGCTGCCCGTTGGTGGTATTTCCCGACTGGCTCTACCTGTCAGTAGTCGCTCCTCCCCCGCCTGACTAACCGAGGCTTTCTATTGGATGTCGTCCACGTGTCCGTCAAGAAATCGCCGCCGTGATTGGCTGCCGTTGGCTGGAGCCATGTCTTGCTATATGATGTCACACCAGCTGCCTGTGTGCGCCATCGGCCGTAAGGATGTCCTGGAGATAATCGATATCGTTTTATTTTGCTTTAGAACATGTTGCTGCGTGCTGTAGTAAAATCTTACTTTTTCCCCTTTAGTTTTTGCCAGACAGAGACCAAACTTATAAAAAAGCGATATGAAAAATGGTCTGAGTGAAATAAATTAGTCTAAATGTATTTGATTCTATGACATGGGCGATCCATTGTACTTTAATATGCATGCTATCATAATAGTCATTATGAGCCACACCACATAAGCATTGTGTGCACATGTTACATTCAGACACCTGTTGTATATTCTGCTTCACCAGAAAATAACATGAATGTTGCCATAAGTCAAGATACCTGGCACGGGAGCCCCATCTAAAAGGGCCCTGAACCGCCATAGACTATTATATGATATGACATTTAGCTGACAGAGGAATGTCACTGGCTACATTGCAGATTGTGATTTAACCAACAAAATATAACT